CCACGACATCCTCTCCGATCCCATGCCCCCGGCGTGTTCCAACGCTATACCCAACTATTCCTGCCGTGTATCGTTCGGTGAACGAGATAAAACACACACACGCACACATACATACACGCTCTCCCCCCTCTCTCCCTCTGCCTCTGCCCCTGGTACATAGTTGGCGCGCTGGTATTCATAGGCGGAACGGTGGGGCCCGTGGGCGTGCGCCAGCTCGTCCGTGAATTTTGTTGCACAGGCCACGCATGTGGCTCGGTTTACGAGAGGAGGTAGAAAAAGAGGAAGTCGCCAGGGCCGGGTATTAGTTTCCTTTTGCGGGAGCAGAAGCGGTTGAAAGAACGAAAGATGGGTATGGGAGGGAGGGGTGGCGGCGAGTGATTTCAGGTTCAGCCGCTGTGCGAAACTCCTCTCCTCCCCGGGGTTGAGGAACGAACGGTGCCTGGTAGTAGTGGGATTGGGATTGGCAACCGGCTCTCTAGCGGAGGCTAGCCTACCCTCCTCCCCTCCCCTCCCTCCCTGGCTCCGGCTCAATTCTTTTGCAACGCCGGCTGGCATCCGCTCGGCCTCAGCCCAGGAACCCTACGGTAGTAGTACCGTAGCAGTACCCTGCCTTCTTCTTACGTGCGCTGCGCGCGTGCATGCGTGCGTGCGTACGTGTGACGCGTGCGTACACGAGAAGGACTCGAGTCGCGGACAGGTAGAGGTGGAACGGGGGTTTCACCGGCGAAGCGAGAGATTTGGAGGAGTGTGTTAATCTCTCTCGTGTGAATTCCACGATATTTTTTCCTTTCCTTTTCCTTTCTATTCTATCCCGATCTTAACAAACGCGAACTTCTAAATCTCGAGTCGACTTACCTGCAAGCCCCTTCTCAACCAAATTCTTCAACACGATTTTTTCCTTCAACAAGCCCGTTGAATATTTCTCCGAGTCGTTTGCGCGATCATCGGTGTACAGGAAATATGTCCGATACGGCGTATCGAGAGGCAAAGAGAAGGTTTGCGGAGCGCAACAATGGGATCCGAACGAAACCCAGAGAAGGAAACCTTCCCTGACCACGGACAAAGGGCGGGGAATAGGGAAGCCGTTCCGCTGGTCGCGTTCCCCGTGGCCACGAATTGTTCGCGCCGAGTGTGTGCAAGAAGAACTCCTCGAGGTGCAGCAACCTCGAGCCCGTTGGAGAGAGAGAAAGAGATAGACAGACAGACAGACAGAGAGAGAGAGAGAGAACGAGGCGAGTACGTACGCCTCCTCCTCTGTTCTCAGGGGTCCAGTTTCCTGGGTCGGTTAGTGCGTTCAGAATCTACCGGTTCTACCGGAATCTTCCTGGAAACGTGCGCTCCATCCTCGAATTAGAAATCGTACGTTCCTAATCTGATACGTGCCCGGGTTCCTCAAGGCTTCCTCCAATACGAGGCGCCAGAAAATGGCCGCCGATTTTCCCTGGCCCGCGATATTCTTCCGGAATAGATGGCGTGTCTGCCCCTTCCGAGTTGGAGGAGGTGGGGGGTGGGGGGGGCGGGACTCGCGGGGCCGGCATTGAAATAGCCGATTATTTAGCCATTAATCTTGTTGTTTTCGACGTTGGTGAGCGGCCAGGGCTCTCGTTGCCCCGGGGCCGACTGGTCTGACAACTTTGCCGGCACCGGCACCGGCACCGCCGCTCGTCTAGGTGTGTATAAGTTTTGCATTGTTGATGAATTTTTTTCCTCCTTTTTTTTTTTTTTTTTTTTTTTTTTGTTGGGGGAGAGGAGGGGGGGGGAAGGAGGGGAAGATAGGTTAGACTTCCTGTCTGGTGACTTTTGATGTTGTGCATGGGAAACGTCAAACAAACGTGCTTGTCGCCGATCAAAGATGTATGTGAGCGCGGTGTGAAGGAGCCTCTTTTGGGTTTATTAATAGTGTTAAGGTTGTTGGAATGGCGGGATTCGAGAGTGGTGGGTTTATTTTTTAAAAGGGAGCAAAATAGACGAGCTTTGAGGATAATTTTTCAGGTGTATTCGTGTACTTTTGCGAAGGAGGATAAATTAATAAATTTTCTCGAAATGTTTAACCGGTTTTTTCCCTTTTGATTTCGTTTATTACGATCATTATCTGACTCGCGTGATTATCTACATTTTATAAATATCAATCATAACTTCTTAATCCTTCGACTTTTATTCCCGGTTAATTCACCAGTTTTAAAAACTTGCCACGAGTCAACCATTCTATTTCTTCCAATTCGTTTATAACCAACTATATTTACACGTTGGATATCCTCTTTCCAACGTTCCTTTTTTACATTCCACCAGTCAGTTTGGTTCGTGTGGAGCCTCTCTCGGCTCTCTGTCCTCGACAACATCCTCGTGAAAGCACCTTCGTTCCCTCCTGGGACCCGTGTGCCTCTTTCTTGCACCCGATGGTAGGGATCTACTTAGACTTATTACGGGTTTGGGAAACAGGTCGGCCTTTTTTTCTCCTTTTCTTTTTTTTTTTTTTTTTCTCCGGCAAGAAAGAACAACGCGTCGAGAGAGACGACGCCTCGGGAGTCAAGGCTGTAGCGAAATAATGCGACTCGTTTTCGACCGTTTTCGCGCGGACTTCCCCCCTTGTTCATTATTGGAATGGGCACGAGTCGCGCAATTTATCTCCACGGAATAACACGGCGAGGACGAGCTCTCCGTTGTCGAGGCTCGGAACGAGTTACTAATGGGCATTACGGGGCCCGAACCTGCCTTTTCAGAACCGTTAATGTATCCTATTATTAACGTAACGTTTCTTGGACTCCTCGTTTCTGCCATCTTTGATCGATGAATTTTAACGCAATTTGTATTTAATATACAAACTTATGAAAGTAATGAGATTTAACGAAATAGCGTTATTTTATTTATAAATTAAATATTTTATTCCAATTAGATGGTTTCTTTTCTTTTTATTCTATATATAAAACACGAAATAAGAAGTCGAACATGTTTCTGGACATGTTTTCATCGGTTAAGTTTTATTCGTAAACGTTCGTGAATGTTCGGCAGCGCTCGGCCTCGAACCGTGTCACGTGACAGTTTCACGCTTCAGTGTCGAAGCGGCAGCATCCGTACAGTGTAGAAAATACGTATAGAACTGGAGAAACTTTAATTAGAAGCTTGACTGTGGCAATTTACAGTTGTTAAACCGTTGGTGATCCTGTTTCCGTTTATTTTGAAGAAGGAAAAAATAATAGAACGCTCTTCGCGATCTAGAAAATATATATATATATATATATCTGACTTTAAACGCGGAATTATGTGCTGTTAGCTCGAGGGAAAGATTGATGGGGCGTTCCTTGTTCAATTGAATTCCTACGTCGCGGAAGAAAAGGACGTTCCCCTTTCTTCCCACGGCTAAACACGGAGGAGATGGTTGCCGCGTGGTAAATAAACTGTGTGGTAACGGCGGGCATGTGGGTGGTATTTATAGCATAAATATAATAACGATGCCACGTTTGAATTGCGTGACGCCACTGATTAAGGACGAGATCGAAGGAACAGTAAACCTGGCACAGTGTGTATTACACGTACGCATGCTATCGAGGGAACAAGTTGTTGGCATTACAGTTATTCAACTTTACGATGGAGACGTGATAATTTGACGTATTATCGCGAGATCGAGCGAGAATATTATCCGAAACAAGGATTTATCCGTTTAAAGAGGGGAGTTTCGTTTCTTCCTACAACTTTTTCATTCGATTTCGAGAGAAAATTTAACAACTGATGATGATGCTACGTTTCGAAAATACTTCGATTTCTTGCTTAAAACTTTAAAAAGAAAAAATCGCTATTTTTAATTTAATCATTACAATATTTAATCAGGAATAAAAAAAAAAGAAAAAAAGAAAAAGAAATTCCTCTACATCAACAATCTATCGACGAACAATATACGCCCAATCGTGTTCTCGAGATCTTGATCTATCTATCCCGAGAAAAGATGGAATTGAGATCAGCTGGAATTCAGATGGAAAGATGCGAGTTCCGCGTAAAGCCGCGAGGTTATTTGAATTGTCTTCGTGGGGGCTGACTAGGCGCAACAAGTTGACAGACGTCGTTCTAGATGCGGCGATAAAAACTTCACGGTTTAATGCCGTGAGTTACACTTGCTCGTTCATGTAAATGCGGAATTGGACGGTTTCGTTTCAACGTCGCGTTCCCCGTGGATTGTCCCGATGGGGAAGATTGATGCCGTGGTTTCTGGCTTTCAGTTACCTCGGTCGGATGTTTTTGGACCAATTACACTTGTTTTCTTGCTTTCTGATCGCGATTGCCTTCGACCGAGAGCCAATTGGAATCGATCTTGTTCACGAGGAAGAATTCGTTTGGAAATTAAAATTCGATTTTAACGACGATGTTGATTATTTTAATAATTTTTTGAAGCTGGTGGAAATGATTGAGTAGATTCACCGATTTCAGAAATATATAATTATGTATCGTGACACGTGTAGTTTTATTTTTGCTGTAATTTTTCCAATATGAATTAAATTTATTTTTAATAATAATATTAATATTGAAATCGTGTTCCACTAGTTTAATTAAATATTAAATTATACAGTAGATGATTCAACGTTGTCCAGAATTTTCGCTATTAACGTGACGGTTAACCCATTACAATAATGATAATCATAATATTCACCACAATACAACAACAGCCACGATACACGAACGATTTAAATCATTTAATTTTTCACATATTTAAAACCAAATACTGTCTATATACTAAGAAAAAATAAGTAAATAAATAAATACATGAATATTTTTTAAAAGACGTTTCAAAATAACTAACATAACCTCAAACTTATCACTAACCCAATTCAGCTACAACTTTTCCCCGTTATAAAATTATAGTAAAACGAACATAACCTCGTATTTCACCTATCTCTCCTCCATTACAAAATTGCACAGCAAAACGAGTACACAATAATAATCCCTCAATAGAATAACCTCAAAATTAATTAATCATCGTGAAAAGATTCCAGACTTTTTTCGTATTCCAGACTCCCGAAACGGGTCATCAGAGTTGGTGGACATGCCGGCCGGAACCGTTCCTAATTTGGGCGCGGTTGCTGGAGTCGGTGGCGAGGACATGGCATCCTTGTGGGCATCCTACGCGATGGGATTAAAGAAGACACCGCCGCCAGCGTCCGCGGCGACGCCCTCGCGATCAGATCGTGATCGCGAGTCCAGCCCTCCGGGGGAGGGGACGGGGAGCGCGCACGACGAGACGAGCAGCAGCGGCAATAAGGAGGACGAGGACGACGACGACGAGGATGCCGACGAGAGGTTGGACCCCAGACACCACGACCCGGAGCGCCAGAAGGCTTTCAACGTGAGTCCACGGGTTTACGTAATTCCCTTCAGCTTTGCTTCTCTTCTTTCTCCTCCCCTCCATTTCGTTTTGGGATAAAGGCCGCAGCGTGATTAATGAAACGAGTCGAAAATGAGTTCGAGAGACTTGACGAGGGTGAGTCTTTTTTTGATCGTCGAGGATGAGAAGCGATAATGATTTTAGTAGATTGATATAATTTCGAGATTAATTGTTGCTCAATTATTGTAAATCTTTAATGATATTTCGTGAAAATATTTTACTCGAGCTTTGCTTGAAATCGCTACCAGATGTCCCGTTAATTATTACCTTCTCCCCTTTGCCTTGATTTTTATATACACAAATTCCAAATTATTGCATCCTAAGACATCTATGGTATGGGTCTATGGTAAAATTTTATCAATAAAGTTCATACGTATAAGTTCTAAACCTTATATTCCTCTAATATCAAATCGATGATTATAGAAAGCTTATTAGTGTATTTAAAAGAGCACAATCTTTCCTGATTTCTTCGACTAATGTTTCTCTCACAACACACTCAGACCTCCATTTCTCTTAACAAGCCATCAGCAGAGGAACCTAAACTAGAAAAAAAGAAACCCCATTCTCCGGTACATCATCCGTAATTATCTCCGCTTAAACACCTGAAACCATAACCTCAAAGCGCGAGGCACATTACCGTATATACTCGATGCCTTGGGCCGCATTAAACCGGAAACAGCAAGTTTATTGCAACCAGCATTAGCTCTGCAACCACGTAAAAAGATAGAAAATTATTATTCGTAACAAAATGAGAGGGGGCTGAAGAAGAAGAAGAAAAGAGCCATCGCGTGTAAAAAGACATCCTCCGTGCTTGAAACGAAAGAAAGGCCATGAAACTCTTCTTTCTCCTCCCGAAAAACCCGCAATTATCGTATTTTTACGAAGATCGCAGCGACGCCACGCGGCGGCCTCTCTTCTGCCCTCTTGCGCCCTCTCGTCGCGGAAACTGAAACCCAAAGCAGGGCCCGCAGATGGCCGTGAGCTGCCCGGGCAGAGCTGCTCCTTAATTAATTACAATTAGTTTAATAGACGATGGCACGCCCCCACCACACCGCGAAATCCTTAATTCCTGCGTCTACCAACTTGGTACAGGGGCTCTCGTTTCAATTCGTTCCGCGCCGCGCTCTGTGTACACGCGTTCCATCTTTACAGATGTTCGTCAGGCTGTTCGTCGACGAGAACTTGGACCGTATCGTGCCCATCTCGAAGCAACCGAAGGAGAAGATACAGGCGATCATCGACAGTTGTACCAGGCAATTTCCAGAGTTTGCGGAGAGGGCCAGGAAGAGGATCAGAACGTACCTGAAGAGCTGTAGAAGGAACAAGCGTGGCAGGGAGGGCGCACCTTGGGACGCGGTGAGAATTTTCACATTTGTTTGTTTTCGGTGTAATGCTCGAAGAACGGTTTGAGTCAAATTTCTGAGTGATAACACGAATGTGACGAAGGATCTTGTGATGTTTCTAGCCTGGAGAAAAGGAATGGTTTAATGTTTTCGAAAGAGGAAGTTGAAGAATCGAAGGATAATGAAATGTCATTTTTGAGGTTATGAATTAATTTTGAAAATAAAACTCGAGAATTAAGAACTGTTGGGATTGTAATGGGTTATCGATGTTGTTTTATTCTTAGAAGAATTTAAAAGAATTAAAGTTTATTTTTTAATAATTTAAAATTAAACTCTACCTTCAATAATACAATTTCATAAAGATTAAAAAAAAATTCAGTGGTACGTAATAAATTTCTTCGACTATCAACCCACGAAATAATAAATTCTCTCCTCGTCAGTGGCGTTGATAATTTCGAATTTTGCGAGCCACGGACCGCGAAAGCTCACAAATTCCGCAAGTCTGAGTCAAGTTCGAAGCTTTTCGGTATGCGACGATCACGTGGCTATTTCTTTTTAGGCGAGGCCCACTCCGGCGCACTTGACCTCTGTGCAGGCTGAACAGATTCTGGCAACGGCCTGCGAAAATGAGAGCGACAACGCGAAACGCATGAGACTCGGTCTGGAGCCTGTCTCACAACCAATGCCAACTCTTCCGGCTGCGACGGTGAGTAAAATTAGAACGAAAAGAGTATGGATCCACGATATCGAACTATCCTCTTCCATTTCTCGCGACACTCTCTTCATCGCTAATATTTTATTTCAAGTCAAGTTGAAGAGGATGAAGTTTTTTTTTTTTGAGATTTTTCTCTTATTTTCCTTTTTTTTTTTTTTTTTTTTATTTTATTAGTTATTAACGCGTTGATTAACATGGTGGACGCTATATCGATAGTGGCGCCACGGAGGTTATTGGAATTAATCCAAGTATTTGAATTAACACGTTAAGGATAGAGTTATTTTACGAACGCTGGTAAACAAATGCATAATTTTTTTTTTTATTATTGGTTTGATAATTTTAGTAAAAAAAGAAGTATAAGATTAAAGAAAAATTTACTAAAATATCGTTTAAATTTAATTTATTAAAAAAAAAAAAAATGCTTTAAATTTTTTAATAATCAACAAAAAAAAATAAAATGATCCTCATAATATAAATTGTATTAATTGAAATTATATATGTTCAAATATACATATATTGAATGTTTATATTACAACTATGTTGATTTAACGTTTTTACGATAACGTAACACTTGTTTCTTTTATTATTGCAATATCATCAAACGCACGAGGAAATGAAATTTCATTTTGTTTATAGGTAATTGGATATCGTCATTAAACAGTTTATCTTCGCGTAAAAAGATGAAACAGCAAATATTCTTATATAGATAAGAGTATTTTTCAATTTCAGTTTCACGTATTATAGCGTAATACATGCGAATATACATATTAGCTTAAATATGCGTTTTATTTAATTAACATTCACTTTAATCTTTGATATTTCGTTACGTTTATTGGTAAGGTTCATTTTTTTTTTTTTTTCAATAATTAAGAAGGAACAATATATTCTAACATGTTTATTCACCTATTTATCAAGAGAAACCTTCCATTATTAATATAATTAATAAGATGTTGATAACCAGCATACGTTAGAAATGCTTGGTAAACCATCACGTGATTATTATATGATTCTAACAAGACATTGCACGTGAATGATATTGCAACAGCAATCGACACTATATATTTTTTTTTTCTTTTTGTTGCTTTTAATTGATGCTTACGAACACTTCCATTAAATCATCGACCAATTATCAGTTCACTTCTACGTAATATATTAAACTTATGACATCACCTGATGCAACTTTCTATTCAGAATGGAAAATATATAATATCTATTTCCCGATTCACAACGTTTAATTATCCTCCAATATAATATTCCAGTAAAAATAATTAGACTCATCCATTTACGAATCATATTCGATAAAAATTGATCCACACATTGTTCGTTAATTTCTTTTTTTTTTAAATCTGAAAAATCGTAATTTTCACACAAATCCTCCTCCTACTCGTCATCGCGAGATATCCCAAAATAATTTCCAAAAAATAATAATAAGATAATAATAAAAATCTTTCCTTCTCAAAAAACTCACGCCAAGCCAACCACCCAAAAGCATACATTATTTCATCAAAATCGTGCAAGAGGGACAGAGGAAGAGAGAAAGAGAGAGAGAGAGAGAGAGAGAAAGACCGTCAGATTTCGCGAGAGCGAGAGAGGATGACGTAACCGAGTGGCGCGATAAAGTTTTCCATGAAAGTAGCCGTCCATAAAATTATCAAGATCCGACGAGGGAGAACCTCCTGCGCAACGCTTCGTGAAACGGAGAGAGTCTAGGATTGATATAGGTACGCGGAGAGTGATAACCCCGTGGGTCGCGCACCTCTCCCACTCTCTGATGCAACGGAGCGCGCACGATGGCCACGTTCCACGCGTGGTTCGATGGGACGAAAAAATCGAAATATTTCTCTCTCTCTTTCTCTCTCTCTCTCTCCCCCCATCCACCTGGCGGCCATCCCTCACGAGAGTCGATCGAAATTTTCGAACGTGGATTCCGCTCGTGAATAGCTTTCACGCGCGGTATTTCGGAAGAGCCGCGCCTCGAAATCGAAATTAGCCTTCGCCTCGCGGATTTTGTTTTTTCCAGCTGGGGACAAAGCTCGTGCTGCGATCGGTGTCCCTTCGATTTTTTTTTATTTTTTATTTTTTATTTTTTTATCCTTGGTGTTATTTGGTTTGGAAAATTGTAAATTTTCGAGATTAATCTTGGGTTTGTTACCATCAAGATACAAGAATGTAAGCAATTAATAAATAAATTTCGATGGATATTTTTGAATCGATATCTGGAATATCTATTTTCGTTCTAGTTACTTGAATTATGTATTTGTCTTTATAGGTTGGTAAGTCTGGTGTTAATGGAAAATAAATTGTTTAGAGAAAATTTCGATGAAGAGTAAATGGTAATTTTGCTATTTTTGTACGAAGCATTTACTCTGAGATTATCACATTCAAATTTTTTGCTCAGATCTGAGATATCGGTGAAACATCGATGTTTCAGTGAACTCTTATCCAGTCCAAAAATAAGATAAGTTTTTACATGAATTGGGTAACAGAAATTGATGACAATCTGGAACTTTAAATATATCATTCTCAATTTATAAAAATTTATAAAATATTCCCTGAACGATATATCAATCCACCAAATAATCTTTTCCATAAAAAAATTAATCAACCATATTTAAATTTCGTGTATTTCATCAAACGTTTCTCATTGTCTCAGATAAAAATCGAGTGATACACACACGGACGTGTCAAAGGTGTTGATAACAAGTCCGAATTACCAGTCTTAACTTTTTTTTTTTTTTTTGTCTCTCCCCGTTAGTCATCATCGAGCGTCCATGACATCGTTTAAAAAGGGCCACGGCTGACACGCTCCCCCCCTTCCAGATCAAGAAAATCTCACGTTTATCCAACCGTCCTGTTTCACCACTTCGACGAATTGTCTCGTTTCCCTAATCGTACGTACAACCGAGGCCCTGCTCGATCATGGCGGCGCGAAGCTAGCGACATCTGGCGCTAACTCTCTAATCGACGCCAAACTATGAGTCAACCACGAATTTCACAAGTCAAAGTTTACTGCACTCTGACTGATTTTGTAATTTGGTACCCTTGGATATCTTTCACGGTGAAACGAACGTAAAAAATCTCGTGATCTCGTTTGCTTTTTTCGATCGATACCAGACTACGAATAAAGGGTAATTTTCATGAAAACCTGCATATCGTATTTTCGGCTAATCCGAAAGGAACATCGATTCAAAAAACGATTCCACAAATTCATTCTGCTATTTTGACAGAATTCGATAAATTTCTCCGTTCCATATGTCACGCATATTTAATGATATCTACGTTAACTTCTTGAAATCACGAATTGATCTTAAATTTCACAAAATCCTTGAAATTACTTGAAAAAAAGATCGATTCGTCCTAGAATAAAATCTCTCCATTCTTGGTTCATAGTGTCTTCTATATCTATTTCCTTATCAGACTATGAATTTTACAAATTTAAAACGCAGGAAAGATAGATTCGTTCATTCCAGTCCGTGTCTCGCATATCCAACGACGTCATCAGCTTCTCGTCGACCTTAGAGGGCCACGAATTTCACGAATCCCAAAACCGTTGCACGAACCGACCTCGATTTCGACACCCTTGCCCAACCCCTCGCCAAGGTTCGTTCACCCCTCGAAACAAACGCAGAAATCTCCCCGTCCCGTTCATCGTCGAACGGCGGCGTGGGCGGCATCGGCGTGTCTCTCCGGCGCGCCTAATCCTCCCTTCGCCCTCGTGAATATTGCACACCTACCTCCCAGACCTCTCTCCGTATATCCCCACGGTTACGAACACACGGCGCAAGAAAGCTAGAGAGAAACGAGAACATCCGAGTTTCTCGACTTATCTACTTTGAAAATCCCTAGCCGTGGAGGAGGAAACCGACGATATAGTGTCAGGCGCGGGGAGGGAGGGGAGGGAGAACGGAGAGACCGATAACCTCTCGGCCGACCTAAACCTAACCTATTAAGGAGAAGACCGGGGTTCGTGCACGGACGCGGCTATCTGCCGTGGCCACCTATATAATTGACGTCAACGCACACTGCTCGCCTTTCATAAAAACACCTCCCTACATCCGTTCTCCTCTCTCTTGACGATTTCATTCCTCCGTGCCTGCGCGCCTCTTTCTCTGCGTGCGCGCTCTTCCCCCCTCCCTGCCCCCCACCAGCGGTCCACCCGTCTCCCCGGTGGATCCCTGCCCGATCTTTCTTTATTTATTTCTTTCCTTCCTTCTTTCCTTCCATCTTTCTTTCTTTCTTTCTTTCTTTCTTTCTTTCTTTCTTTCCTCCCCTTTCTTTCGCCACTAGCTCGCCTCTCTTTCCACGAATTAATTTCCTTGGCCACGAGAGAGAGCTTACTCACGCCTCGACGTCCCTGTCCGCCACATCTGGTCGCTTCTTCTTCTTCTCCTCCTCCTCCTTCTTCTCCTTCTTCTCCTTCTTCTTCTTCTTCTTCTTCTTCTTTTCTCGACGCATTCGGTCGACGTTCCATTGGCGTCTTTTTTTTGTGCCATTCTTCCTTTTTCTTTTTTTCCTTTTTATTTCGATATTATTCACACCAGGTGGAAGTGGCTTCAGAGTTAGCGCTCCGAGTCGGGTGTGTAATCGTCGTAAGAAGAGATATTCGCGAAGGAAGATAGATGGTGGTTCCCTGATCGTAGCGTACGTCACTGGGAACACGTGGTGTGTTGTGATATGATGTACCATCGGATTTCACCGTTTGGATACGGTGCGCTCAGTCAGTGACCAGTTTTGTGCGACTTGGCGATCATCTGTGTCCATACGAGGGAATTTACGCAAGGTGTGAATTTATTACGACGGTTCGAAAGAATCAAGTGTGAGAGATTGACGGCCAAGAGCCGTTGAGTCTCTCTTTGGTTTAAGTACGGTGCATTTATACGGTGATTGTGCGCGTTTTGAAGAATACTGTACTGTACGATGATGCGTATGCTCGTCATAATGATTTGAAACGATCGATTACAGGGAAACAGTTGATTAAGTGTATCGTTATGTGAATATGTCAATGGCCGCCAGTTCTCTACGACTTGGAAAGACCTAGAGTCTATTGTTGTCTCATCGACGAAGTGATGGTTTAACAACAATCGATTGTGAACACTTTGATCGACTTGAACCAGACTGTTAATTGGAATGGTGATAAACGAGAAAAGAAACGTGGGGCAAACATGAGGAAAAAGAACCTAAGAGTGGTGCACAAGCAGGTGTACGATCGCGTGCAGATCCAGCAGGTACGCGATGGACTCACAAACCACGTGGTTTCCTAGTTTCTTTTTTTTTTTTTTTTTTTTTTTTTTTTTTTTTTTAACACAGCGACCGATCGATTTTCGCGTCTGATCTCCGCGCCAAGCCGATTCCCGATCGCCACTGGCTAAAACTGGGTCAGAATGCTTAAAAATCTGGAACGTGAGATAAATTTCTCGCGCGCATACGGTGGAGGGGAGTTTGTCGCGACCAATCAGCGAACGAAGCAAACGTTATTAGTTCATTTACAGGGTGATCCAAAAGTCGTGCCCCTAAAAGAGGCTTCGATCGATCTTTTTTCTCTTTCTTTTTTTTTTTTTTTTTTTTAATTTTTCTTTATCCTTTTTTTACTTACGAAGTATTAATTGATCGATTAATTGGATAATATTGGATAATAAATTTTGAATCTTGCGAAAAATTGGTACAATTGAACATATCGATTTTTCGCAAAATTATGTTTTATACGTCATCGAAGAATTTTGATTTAGTTTATTTATTTATTTATTTTTTGTTTCATTCGATCTTTTTAAGATTTCTACTCGCAATAAACTGTATGTCAATAAACTGTATGTCACATTGCTAATTATAGTCGATTGTTCGAGTCACTATTTATTGATACGGATATTTCAGTTGACATGAAATATTGTTAATTATAGACGATTACATGAATCGTCGTGCTGTTTATCGTCATGCGTACTTACTCATGGACGTGCTTGTTAATAAGACACACTTAATTCCTTCAAGCAAAATCCGATAGTCGTAAATTCGTAGAATTTTCATTATTTCAACGATGAAATCGAAATATAATTTAGCGGTAAAACAACGGTGTAATAATTTCATTCGCATAGAAATGAATAATCGCAAAAAAAATCGGACAAAATTATTGCTCATAAAATTTATCCTTACGTCAAATTAATCGAGGGGGAAGACGAAAAAAAGAAAAAAGAAAAAAGTATAATTTAAAATATAACCTTCCTATCATTAAATTTCTAGCCATTTATTATTGCCAATTAAAAATTTGCAATAATAAAAAAAAAAATCATCGAATTATTACTTTTAAACGGCAACAATAATATTAATAATATTATTATTGCCATAGAAATATATCCTTCAGCCATCAGCATTCCCTGAAAAAGAAAATATTCTCTATTGTTATTCACCTCTTATTGATTAAGGAATGTATAAAAAATAATTATTAATTATCTTTCGTTAATAATTATTATTAGAAGCTCATCTCTCTCTCTCTCTCTCTCTCTCTCTCTCACTGTAACTTATCTCCAAAGTACGAAACCTCAACGTATTTTCTACCGGTAATCCCGCTTTGGAAAGCTAAGATCGAGCGGTTGTTACAGCAAACGGATGTCCGGTCAAGTTTGGAGCATTTCTCGAGTACACCGGTGAAATCACTTCCGGGTAAAAGGGAGGATACACCACCGGCATCGCTAACGTCCCTGGCGCCGCTAACCAGTTTGGCGAACTTGCCGAGCAGCACTCTCTCCTCCACACCCCTGTCCCTTGCACCGGCGTCGAAACTGCTCACCCCGGCGGACAATAAGGGTCTCATGAGGTCAGTATAACGTTTCGTGAAAGATGTTAAATCAAGTCGGCGATCTTCGATCTCCTTTCCTTTTCCATCGCGCTTTGTTTCCTATTATGTCAAATCATCCTATTTTTGAAAAGAAAAAGAAGAAAAAAAAAGGAAATTAATCTTAAGAATGATGATATTAAAAGGTGATAATAAAAGGGTAACTTGGCTTTATGGATTCATAGATGAAAGTAAAATTGATTATTGATTAAAAAATTGTAGATTAATTTTTTGGATTTAGCTTTGATGTTTGAATAATATAATTGTTTTTGTCTGCTATTAAATATTATATAAAATTTAATGATCTCGTTGAAGAGAATGTTGTTTAAACTTGTTTCTTAAAATTTGTAATACTAATTGGTAAATTAATGTTATTTAAAATGATGATTATTTATTAAATAATTTTCTTTTTTTTATAATATATATATATAGCAATTTTTGGATGAAGAAGATCAAGTAGATTGACTCAAGTAGATTTAAAATAAAGAATAAATAAATAAAAGTGGGATTGAATGCAAATTAAAAAATAAATAAATACGTTGAGTTCTATTTAAAGGAAATTAACAATATAAGATTATTTATCTGTTTGTCAATAATTGCAATTGAATTGGTTTAATCGTTGGTTTATTTCTGTATAAGAAAAAAAAGGAAAAAAAACATAATTTATTAGATTATTGACTAATAATGTAGATACTAATATTATTTTTAGAATGTAGAGATAGAATGGAATCTACGATTTAATATATTAATATTATGATTTGAATTTGTGACATCGCGTTATTTATTATCCTATATTATAAATATTTATGATATTTTGATATATAAAGATTAATTAAGAATTAAGAATTTCAATGATACAAATGATACATGATGATATTGTCATTTTTTTAAAAATCATAGTACATGTTTTTTTTTCAACATGTGTAGATTATTATAAAGAAATCTGGTTTTCTTTCTGTTTTTATTTTTTTTTTTTTATCAATTATATCAAATATTTAATATAATATTTCAAAAAATTAGACTCTTTATCCTCTCTCTTCCTTTCTTTTTCTTTCTTATTTTCTTGATAAACAAATAAAATCTTCCAATAAAATGACACCCGATGACTTGGATTTATTGATAATACTGTTTATATTTACATTTGTAAGAAAAAGAAAAGTCAAATTTATTTTGAAATATTTGACTATATTCTTAGATGTTGAATAATTAACCGCAAATTAGTTAACTCGGTATTATTCATTTTCACAGACTTCTTTTCTAGAAATTTAAATAATTAATTACACTTTATTGGACGAAAGTTAAACGTGTTGAAAAATTAAGTACGGTTGATGAACTTTAAATAACTCAATTACATTTCTCAGCCAGTTATTCAACGTGATATCGGTTAATTTGTTACAAAGATAGATAACAGTTAAATCAAGTCGGCTGGTAAAATTGTGACGCTGAATTTTTTAGAAATGAAAATAATGTCTAGACGAGGTGATTAGTAGATTTAGATCATCGATGAAATTTAATTTTAAATAAAGGGGAGACACTTTACTTTTCTCTTTTTGAAAAAGGCAAAATCATTTGGTTTGGAGTCCTAACTTCTTAAATAAATTTTTACATTTATATCAAATTAAAATAAATAAACATTTTGTATCGTTTCTTGATATTAGCAGTAAAACGAATAAGGAAATCAATTTTTTTATTTATTTCACGAACAAACATATTTTTTTATCCTGTAATAAAGGTATATATATATATATATATATATATATATATATATATTATATTAAAAATGAAGAATATCGAATAAAATTGAATAATGGTAATCATGGTTCTACAAAATGATATATATTTTCATCTACCATTCATCATGCTCGTGTCATACCAAAGATTTATTCATTTTTCACGATATTTTCAAAATGTTATAAATTTCAATTCTTTGAGTTACAGCTTTAACAATTTACATTGAATATAACAAAACTACAATAATTCTCGAAAGTATTATCTAGCAATACATAAAAGTATTTCATTTCTTTCCATCGAAATATATTTAGCTAATTAAATTAGCTTAGATTGAATCGGATCAAAAAAAAATGGCTGGTCAAATTACTTCTCTCCATCGATGTTTCATCAAATCTAATATGGCCGCTATACTTGTTGCAAGACTGTACGTAATAACACACGAATTTAGCAAAGTAATAATATCCACAATTGATAAACTAAATTACTAAACGATCTTGAATAAAAAAAAAAAAAAAAAACTTAATAAAAATACCGATGCAAAAACATTCTCCTCGATTCAACCTCTAACTAGCAACGCAGCCTCTTACGATTGACGTTCGATCGGCGCGAGAAAAAAAGAGAAAGAGAGCGAGAGAGAGAGAGAGAGAGAGAGAGAGAGAGGAAAAAAAAGTAACTATATACGTTCTCCTGTCGTAATCGGTCCTCAGGCCGCCCATTCTCACTCTCCACGATCTCTCATTCACAGAGAGTCGAGAAGTCGGGTAAACTCGCGGGCGAGGGAAGGAGAGGGCCGAGAGAGATAAGCGTCTGTCCGTCTCTCGTGGACGGTCAAAGATCACGGAACGAAAACTGCGGGGAAAAAAGAGAAAAGAGAAAAAAGAGAGAGGAATGGGAGGGGGGGAGAGGAACTAGCGAGGCGGAATCGAGCGGAGAACTAATCAATGCTAGCACGGGGCGTTATCTCTAACACGAATCTCGCTCGCGTTTTTTTGCAGCCAGGCGACGATAGTCAGCTCGTCGACGGTTAACGGTGTTGCCAGCGGTGGTGCACCAACGGCGATGTACAGACCTAACTTCAGCCAGGCGTTCCAACGCGCCGGGCCGACCACAGTGCCGCCAACATTGTCGGCGGGACTCTACCCCACGCAGAGCTTCACGTCAGGTCTATTGAGCAACGGTACACAAAGTAATATTGCTTATCGGTGTTATTATGAGTTCGCTTTCTTGCGCTACGCCTAGCTTTTGTTTTTGTTCGAATTTTATTTTTCGTCGAGCTCTCCGTAACAATGGTTTCCAACTTGTGGGTTGTTCGTAAGGATTTGAGCGACTAGTGTGAGTGTTTTTTGACTGGTGACATTTAACGCATATCTGTTTCAATGAGATTGCATCGTTGGGATGATTTAATGTTTAACTCAAAGGTTGGAAAACACTGTATTATTTTTAAGCGCAAAATCGGATGCAGATGCTATTATTTTTTTGCGATTTGTCGTTGAAGAAAATATATCAATGTTTGCTTGGAAACATGCTTAAAGCTCGTTGCATTAAAAAAAAAAAAAAATGATAGAAATTATTTATTAAACGTAATTTATTTTTCCAGGGCCGACGGATTTGAGCATGAAGAACACGAAACCGCTTCTGAGTCATAAGTTGAACGCAACGGAAATGACAGCCGTTAGGCAACTGATCACCGGATATCGAGAATCAGCAGCATTTCTTTTGAGGTCCGCCGACGAGCTTGAACAATTGTTGCTTCAGCAACCATAGAGTTACGTTTACGTAGGCAGTGGCCAGCAGCTTGGTTCGTAAGTTTTTTTCCTAACGCGTGGACCAAAACGTCGTGCAATAAGCTGGCACGAGGGCTAATTTGATCCACGAAACTTGGAGACTTGAATGCCTGCATACGAACGAAGCTTATCTGAGCGTCGAAATTACCGACTATCGGTAACGAGTTTCCATTATCGACCACCGATAAACGCGATTTCCCGAGACCAAATTGCCCCGAAGGAAGGAAGGATCGAATGCTGCAACTCGACGAAATTTATCCCGAAGGATGTCAGAAACTGGATTTTCCTATCGCGCGAGCAAAAATAAGCTAAGTTTGGAACAAGTTAGCTTCAATCTTTAGACTGCAACTCCTTGAATAAATATGAAAGAAGAAGAGGAAACTGTTTTCGTGTTAACGAGGCGGGAATTTCAAATTTTATTTATCGAAGAACAAGAGTTCCAGGCGATGGGATCACCAGGGGATCACGCGGTGTTCTTAGGGCTAGGTTTAAGGGAACTATTTCAAACAGGGTGTACATAGAGAGGATTTACAGATATTTACTTAATTATCGATAAGCTTAAGCTTAAGAGAATACGAGGATACGATGTGTGTTATTGCGTGCATGTATAGAATGCGTGCGAGAGGCTTTGGGACGAAGAGCGACGCGGCGAAAGAATTTGATAGATCGTTGCTCGAAAGTAAAATGGTGTATCTTCTTTAGATTAATTATACGCTAGCCACGCGAACGAATATCGCGAACGACCGCTTGTACGTTCGAAGTTGCCGCTTCTCTTCGATCGATCAAAGCTGCTTCGAACGTCTGTGTCGTGTATCGAACATCGCCATTGTCGTTTACCCGACCCAAGAACATTGTATTGATTGTTATGTACATACGGATGAACGTAAGAAAAAAAAAGGAGCAGAATTACGCTCCATAAATGTGTACGGGAATGGAGAGAAAAAAAAAAAAAAAGAAAGAAAGAAAAAAGAGTCGGGGAGACGTGAGTTGCCTGAAAACGGGACGGTGAGGAACCCTGTCATCACGTATATATATGCGAATAAGCAGTTTGTACTATTTATCATAGATCACGGGACAAGATTCTCCCTTTTTTTTTCGTTACACGAGAAAACGATCTGACGACTTATCATACACGCGATTCCTGTATTTTATTGTGAACATAGTACTTGAATTGTACGGATTGGATTGAGGATAGAGATTTAATTTGATATATCGATGAAAAATAACAAAGAATCTTTTTTGGGTTTTGTTTTTTGGAAAAATATTTTTGATTTGTATTTAATGATTAAAATAATAGTTGATAAATAATACTTATGATTAATCAGATTGAAGAATTTTATTAAGAAAATATGTAACAATGTATTTTCAATCTCTATTTTATCTTCTTCGATCATGGTACCAAATTTTCTATAAAAACGAAGCCCTCATAAAAAAAGATACGAATTCTTCAAGTTTAACGCGTTTCATCACAAAGAAATATTAAAATATTACAATCCTCAACCAACGTTATGCACATTTATCGGGATCATCTTGTCACGATCGGAGTTGAAATCGTATTCATGGTTTCCGAATGTATCACTGTGTTACCAAAGAACACTGTTTATTATTATTATTATTATTATTATTATTATTATTATTATTATTATTATTATTACAATATAATATGCACATAGCGTTATATACACACGCGTTTATTTCTTTCTCTTTTCTAATTTTTTTTTTCTCTTATCTTTGCTCTATTCTACTCTCTTCAAAACGAAATCATCGAGTTCTCAACGAGTCATTATCACATTTAAATCGTAATCGATAAAAAAAGAAAAAAAAATAATATACTATTACATCACAATCGATATCTCATCATTCACATTCATAAATCTGCATAAATTTTTCATCGATTCGATTTCGTTGCATATATTTACTATCCATCATTAAGTTTTATTATTTTTTTTATTATAATTACGATTATCGCAGCCACTCTAATCTACAAATCAAAAATATGAAGGAGGGTAGCTTTGGACTAAAAAGAAAAATGCTAGTTTATCGCGAATAATAATTTTCGCGTGTTAATTCAATAATTCGTCGTTGTTTTTTTTTGTACATAGTTTATACGCATCGTACGTATATGAAGAGAAAGAAAGAAAGAAAAACTGCGAATATATGAGTTGCTTTTAAGAGAGAATATATTATTATAATTATTATTATAATTATATTATTATTATTATTATTATTATTATTAATTATTATTAATTATTATTATTAATTATTATTATTATATAAATGCATATATATATATATATATATATATATATATATATATGTATCATTGTAAAATATATTTTTCGCGGTGATCAATGGCCGCCATGACCTCGAACATGAAAAAAACACAGAGAAACATTCCATCAATAGGGGTCAGAGGACGATTAGGAGGAAGAAAGGGTTAAAGTATATAGCTCTCCGACTTGTTTCAGGAACAAACGCGACTCTTCGACCGACCCTAATGCTTCGATGTCGTACTTCCTTTTTCCTTCGTCGTTTTGGCGCGAATTTCGAATATTTTGAATTCAATCGAGCATTCGATATAACCTTGACCAACGAAACGTATATATATATATACCTAGTTTCAAGCGTATTTCGTTAGCGATCGTTTCGTTGAAATATTGATGGAAAATAAGTGGATTTGAAACAACCGTTCAAGCAATTCGATTCACTCAGAAATAGAAATAGATTGAGATCGATTCGAACGTTGTTAAATAAGAGATTTTTGTTTTTTTTTTTTTTTTTTTTGAGAAGTTGGTGTTTGATGATTTAGAAGCTTGGATGTGGTATTTGAAAAATATCTTTGAGTGAGTTGAAATATATATATATATATATATTTTGTGGAATGCTTGAAATATTTCAAAACTTTATTAAAAAGCTTTTAGGAATTTGATAAAATTGAAATTTTGAAAGGGATTGTGATTTGGTATGTCTTGGAAGAGTCTTAAAAAGATTTGTATATTTTCAATCGTTTATGTGTTTATGTAATAAAAGAATTCGGTGTTAAATAACTTATTGCCTTATGATTTTGTCTTTTTTATTTGCGTTCAGCAAAAATTTTTTTGATGTGTATATAGTTTGATTGAATTATATTTGATTTTTATGATAATTTTTTTCAGATGCGTAGTGCAATATTATAAAATAAAAGAAGGACAATTTAAGTAAAGAAAAATAAATTTAATTTCAAAATTGAAAAAAGAAAACAATACAAGTACTTCAATAATTCTAACAAAGAAAAATTATTAAAAAATGATTACATTACATCACATTTATTTTCAAATTCTTGCCATGAATTTAACAAATACCAAACTAATTTCAATTTAAAATTTCTATTTAATAGATACTTGAACTTAAAACTCCCATACATCCTTAAAACCCATATTCAATATTTCAAATTTCAATATTATCGATAAAATAATATTCTCAAGTTTCCAAGCTATTCTTCAGCAACGTTTGAACCAATTCAAGAGATTCATCGAACCGTATGTGAAATCTCCACGAAACGCTGCCGCAGCCTAGTTAATCAAACGATTATCGTGAATCAGTATAGTGCAATAGTTCTCTCTCTCTCTTTACATACACACATATACATGCTACTCTTTTTCTCTGTCTCTGTCCGCCTGTCTGTCTGTCTGTCTGTCTTTACGTGCAAGCATGAAATAGACTTCGCTTCGCGGCACCGAGGAACGCCTCCTTTCATTCGAGCGTCTTCACTTCAACGAATGTAATAATCCTTAAGACCTATCTACACTCACAGACATTGTCTACGAACAGTCTGTGTACATCGTCTGTCAATAGTTGAACAATATCAGCGGATTATATTCGTGGATTAAATACAATTTATATATAGTCAAATGCAGACACGATCCGCGAACAATTGTCTGTCAATGTGGATGGGCCTTTAATATCGTCGTATCATACAGGATAGTTGTACTACGTTAAAACTGTGTATTTGAGACTTATACATTTATCGTACACTTGTAATGCGGAATGAAATATATTAGAACAATTATGTTTATATTACGATTTCAGTCGCACTATTATCGAATTCGAATTCCTTACGGCAATATTAATCAATTGGAAAATGTCGTTATTTGATACACTTGGTATCGATTTATATTTCGATTTTAAAATTTTAGAATTGATGAAAAGTTTTTGAAATTACAAATTGAATTCTTGCAAAAATATTTAATATCGATATAAATGTATGTTAAACAAGTTTGAATCAATTCTGCTTAAATAATTACATCACAGTGAATTTGTTTCGATATATTTCGCGACTGACCAAATCTTCCGCAATTCTATTCGAAAATCGATCGAAAACGCTCTTCGAAAACGAATCGTAAGAAAAAAGTTACACGACAAGAAAAATAACGTGGATCGAATCGTTTTCAAAAGAGCATCGACTCAGCGATACGACCGAAACATACGATCGAAAGGAAAAAGGAAAGACGAAAGAAGGTGGCGTGTAATTTCGAAGAAAGGAAGAACACACGTTTTAAACATTTCCAGAATTTTTTTTCTCTTCCTTTTTAATTTTTCGTATGCATACACAGTACATATTCTATAATATAATATAACACGTATATTTTTCTTTGTTCGTTCGATCGTGGAGGCACACACACCTCAAGGAATGTGTACGAAACAAAATCTTGTTCTGCCTACACGGGATGCAGTTCTTAAACACCGTTCAATGTAATCGCGAATTGATGTATATTGATTATAAAAATTAATGCAAAAGAAAAAAAAAGGTATATATTATAAATAATATAAATATATTGAGAATAAACAAAAAAAAAAAAAAGAATATGTATTTGTTCCTGACGAAAGAATTAATAAGAGTAGCGAACTACCATAATATTAAATATTGATAGTAATGATAAAGATAATTTGATGGTACATACTTTTCTTAAGTAAACATTATACAATTATTACAATTATTGTAGAGTTGGTACGGTCTTTGATGATGCCTTGCCTGTAAATGTAACGTTAAATGAACAAAAAAAAAAAATCTTATTACCTTGTAAATGTTTTACCAAATATAATCGATTATTCAACTTATAGTTCCACCTGATTTTCTCCTTTTCATCCAAATAAGAATAAATCTTTTTGAACATTTTAAAAATATCGATTAGATTAAATTAATTTACATATAAATTAAATACGAAAAATATATCCATTTATTCTCGTTCATTATTTATTATATTTTTTACTAAAAATTTCTTCATAAACGAAATATTTATACAAATAGACTTAATCCATAATATCTTTGAAAAGAATCTTGGAAATTTCGGAGAATAAAATTCGCGCGGGAAGTTTAAAGAAAAAAAGAGGATCCACGCTACCTCACCGTCACTCCCCATTTTACGAAAACCCATAAATCTTTTGTTTGGTCGTCCTCAAGCCATGGTGTGATTAACGTGTGGCAAAAATAAAAATCGGTCGAAGTTCTCGCGGCGCATAAATATCCGGACGCATGCATAATCAGCGCCTTAAAAGCGGCGAACAAGCGGCAGGGTAATGTATTATGTGCGCGGTGTGTATCGAACGAAATGGAAAGTCGAATGAGAGGCAACCGAGATCACGATCTTATAGTTCGATTGTGAAATAAGAGTTGGCCACGAACGCGGCTCGAAGCAACGAATGAAAGTAACATCGGTTACCTTGTTCTTTTATTTCTATTCTCCTTTTGACCGTGTAACTGAACCGGTGTTTGAATCAGAGAAGAAATGGCCGAAAGAAAAGAATATATGATACATTGAACAATGGATATTTTGGCATTGTGCGATTATTTTTTGTGTAGATGGAAATTTTAGAATTTTATCTTAGGTTTGAGAAGAAAAATTGAATTTTTGGAAAAATCAATTGATAATAAATATCAGAAAATGATTAAATTACAAATTAATTGGATTATAAACTACTTTTTTATTTGTCAAATAGAATAAGTCAAATGACTTGATTTTGCAAATAAATCAAAATTATTTTGGAAAGAAAGAATAGTGGCAAATTAAAGGAAAATTGTATAAATATATTCATATTATATAAAAGTATATAGCTAAGTATAATTTATTTAAATTCTAAGATATCCTGTATCACATTTTTCTATTCTAAAAGAATCCTAAAAAATTTTAGAAAAATTATAAAAAAATATAGATTTGCATATATGTATAATAAAAACAATTTAAGAATTAGATTAAGTTACTAAAGAGCTACTAAGAAATTTCATTAAATTTCTTTAAAAGAAATTTCCATTTTTGAAAGATTTATACATTAAATTAAAAACTTTAATAACTATAAAATTTTTCCAAAATATTTTTTAAGACAATTTCTTTTCAAACCTGCTTGTTCAGAAAATATGTTAAAATATAGATTAGGCCATATTTATAGATTAATCTATAAGATCGAATCTATCATATCTTTGTTCAAAATTCAGCTAATGGCCATCGATCGTTGTTGACCAATCAACCGACTTTCGCTCACAAAGTGACCGGCCAAAGTCGATCAAAGCCGACCGAATAAAGGAATTCCAATAAAGATAGGATCGATTGAATTCACCGGAGCCGAAAGTGACGACCCTTGAAACAAGCAACCCGGTCACTGATCGGCCAAAGCCAATTATACCAATTACAAGGAATCGGCGCGCATATCGCGCCAACCGAAAGGCGAAACCGCTCATTAAATCCAGCTTGTCCCCTCCATCGTGTCTTGTAATGGGACCGACTCATCGCAGGCCTCCACGATGCGAAAATAGGGGAACGTTGGTCGGACCCTGCTGGGCCTGGCACGGTTGTCAGGGTCAATTCAAAGGAAGGTCACATCAAGGTTATAGACTTAACAGCCAATGATTACGTGCTGTGATTTCGAAGCTGCAGCTATCAGTGAGTTACCTTTGCTTTTCTTGGATAACTATAATCGTTGAAGAAGATTCAAGAATGAGAAAACTTTGGATTTATACTATTGGATCATAAAAAAATTCAAGAAGATAGGCAAATTTTTGATTCATACTATTAGAAATATTATTTGGATTCATTCACTAAAAAATAAAAAAGTTATTGAATTCATATTATTAGATCGGAGAAAAATATGTGAACATGGTCGATAAATAAATTTCGAATCAAGTACAGACCTCGAAGGTAGAGAAGAGATGGTGCAAGACAAACTTTCCTGTTGTTTTATTTCCGTGGGCTGTTCGAATGATTTACAGTACATCGTGGACGATCCTCGAACTTTCACCTTCACCGAGGAATATTCCTTTCATGGCGATTACGTAGCGCGACAGAAATAAATCGAAGCTTTTTATGGTGTATTTAAACGAATTGAAATTACGAATTGCTGAATATTGGCTCCTTGAAACAGTCACATTCTTTCTTCAGTCCTGCGTAATTTTAATTCTCTTCCATTTTTATATGTTCTTTAATCTAAAATTTATTTCTTTTTTTTTTTGTCAACTGTTTTTCTTCTGAAATTTCCCCCCAAAAATAAAAAAATTAATACAAATAAAATTCAAATTATTTAGAATAAATTTTCTATAGTTGAGATATCATGAGATTAATCACACTGATCATATTAAATTGTAAATTAATGATTGTTTCTTAAATTATTTCTATCGTATTACACATACTCAATAATTCAGCATAGAATTGTTTATGCTTACGGAATTATACTTACTATATAAAATTCCTGTTTCTCAAATTTATTATAATTATAATTCTATCAATATTTTCATCTTACACTGTATGCAAAATTTCTACTGGAAGCATCCAAATACCTCTTTCCAATCTTCCAATAAATCTTATCTGAACTCTCGATCAATTTCACACGATCGAAAAATTTTATATTCATAAAAATCTTCAAGAATCACGAAAAGAAAAAACCTCGAAGATGCAAAAAGAAATGGAAAAAACCACATAAATTCCACAATCTACCCAAGACCGGCTTCTTCAAAAGCCTCGATCCCATCCGGTGGCCTTCGCTATGATTTAACGCGATCGAGCCAATATTTATTAACCGCATTAATTACCTTTAATAATCGCAAGCAACACGAAAAATATCTTTCCGTTTATAAATACCACCTTGCTACCGCATAAGAAGCCGCAATTTTCTTGCAAATTCGCGGAATATGCGTACGAATCCAAGACGATCAATCTAACCTAACCTAACCTTGCGAATACACTCGCGAAATCCTTCGCTAGTTGGTAGCCGATACTCTGAGAAGATTAAGGGCTTATTACCGGCGCGACAGAGGATTAATGACGCGAGCAAAGTCAGTATATTGCATCTACATACCGAATAAATTCGTTTGCCTCTGATTGCAAAGAGCAGAAACGACGCGAGCAGTATGGAGGCGTTCCTGACATTTATCAATCCTAATTCGAGCGCCCTCTCGCGGCCTAATTGCATCGTTAAGGGCCGACCGACACCGCGATCTTTAACGATCCGGTGATTGGGGTTATTGATACCGGCCTCGGGAACGATCTTCGATCACTGGTTTTCGATTGATTTCGTGTACGTGCCCACGCATGATTTATACCGTATTTGCGTTCACCTTCTCTTTCATTTCGGCCTCCGGCGTAGCCTGGGCTCAAAGCTCGTCCGACTGCTTCACTGCCATTCGCTTTTGCCTAGGTTAAGGCGAGTTTCAATGGATATACATACATATTGTGCGTATATATACTGGATGTGTGGTCAAGGAGCGCACGCGCGGATGAATCGGTTCGAAAGATGGCCGGACGTGACTTGAAAGTGAATACGATCGTTTCGATGAAAGAAATTTATATTTATAGGATTGAGAATATCGATTGATTTTATTTGATTATTGTATGATATTTTTGATTTGAGTGTATGTGTGTATATGTATGTATATGTGCTATTACTGCTAAAAAGTTTTTATATTAAAATTGCCGAAGGAACTTAACCTCTTCGCTTATAACAATATTCAGATATCCAAGTATCTTTTTGTGTATTATATTAATGTTTATTACGTTAAAAATAAACAATTTAACTATAATAAAAATTATCTATGAATCATTTGGGATATATAGTCATATAATTAATGATATTTAAATACTATAAATTTTTATAAAGCAATATATATTGATAAAAATATTTTAATAATTAACATTATGTCATCTTAAAACAAAAATATACTTTCAATCAAGTTTCTGATAAATTTGATTGAAGATTTCATATCGAATTTTTTGATCTTTTTGCTAGATTATTATATTTGAAACTTTTGTCTAATACAATATAAATATTTCGGCGATATTAAAGATAATAACTGAATTTCTGTGGATACGCGTGAAATGAGATATGTAATATTAGCAAATTAACAGAGTAATTAATTCGACAAGGTCAATTTAAAGAGAATAAGAAATAGAACGACATTTAGAGAGAAGTGGGGTTGTATAAACCGACTAGAACAAGTTACTTGTTACAAAAACTGCCTTATCGTTGCTAGAAGAAACTCTTGTTCTGAGCAGACTTGTGAGCGAAAAAAGAGAGACTAATTCTATGTTCTAGAGAGACAAGATCTTAAAACAATTTTCTAATGAATATGTATATAATATTGTAATAAATAATTGTAATTTAATTTCATTAAATGATAAGAAAATTTTTAGATAATTAATATTTTCAAATGATTAAAATTCAATTTAAGATTTAACTTAAACCATCCAGATCTAACCATCCAGATCTATCCCAAATCTATAATAGTAGAAATATATACCATATATCTCAAACAATGGTTTTATATATTCTAAAAAATTGGAAATTACGATTTTGACAATATATTTTAAAGTTATAAAAATCGATTATATAAATCGCAAACAATTATTTCGATATCTAATTGATCAATCGATTCCAATTTCATTCGATTTTCAAGAAAACGCAGTACATGCTTTTAAATTGTGCTAAGAGAAATTACATATAGTATATACTTCGATAAATAGGAAGGACAAGTATAGAATCGCCGTTAATTATCAATCAATCGTGATTTCGATAAACAGCAGTGGTTAGAAGGCACCGGCTTTGTATCATCGCGACAAGAATATCGAAGATATTCTATCGATCCCTGTTCGGCCTGCATGCGATGCACTAGGAAGTAAGCGTTGTCCTGACAAATGTGATTAATCGGCACCAAACACGGTTGCGGGTTGTTGCACTCGCAATTAAAGCCTGTTAATAAACCACCAAGGCAAATCGTTTCGCGCTCGGTGGAATGTGAAAGTTACTAGATAAGTCTACGAAGTTTATACCCCTGTGTGCACATATATATGTGTGTGCACGTGAGGTTAGGTCGCTAACACTAAACCACCTCATTATCGGATTCAGTCTTAATTGAGATTAGTTTCGTTAACGTGTTCGCGGCCGGACCAGTTCCGTAAACCGATATCAGGCTCCCTATGTAAATGTCATTATCACGATCAACGAGCTGGAATAGAAGTTCAATTAGGAGATCGGAAGCTGGCTTTTCTCTGCCCGACCGGTTCAAATTCACCGCGTGCCGATCTTGAGTAATATCGTTGTGCTGTATTTTTTTTTTTTTTCCCTTCTTTTTTAGGTTAGATCCTTTTACAAGAATTGAGTTTAAAGGTTAATCAAGTTAGTAGTTTTGTGTTGAAATTCGATAAAGTTTATGGACTTCATTGTGACAATGATTGACTTTTATTGATCAACTTTAGAATTTATTATCTTTTGTTAGTTATAATTAGAGTAAACTATTATTTTATAATTCCTAAGTACATTTAATTTTATTGCTTCTGTTCTAGCTTTAGTATTAGCTTTGTATGTATTAACTTTAGTTAATACATAATCTATCGTTTAAAAATTCGTATAATGTGAATTTTGACTTGATTTTAGAAAAGAATTTTTTTGAAAAATTGATTAAATAACAAAAATAAATCCTCTAATTCTTTCATACATATTTTTGAAAAATATCATTGAATCATGATTGGAAAATTGAAAAGATATTTCTTTTACTAAACTAAACTGACATAACTGGTAAACATTATAATGAAAAATTACGATTAATCTCCAATCATTACCATAATATATATCATACTTTTTTACACATGTACATACGTATGCTTCTCAAAATAGAATCCAAATATAAATAACCGTCTGCCACTCCACTTCAACCTCTTCCATCCAATCACGACCATCATTAACCCTTAAATCCCATTAAATCCCCTCCCTCATACCAACTCTCATCGCACACTCTCACATCGGAATCTCGCCTCTGATACAAATATCAAAAAGCGAGGCGTCTCAAGGCCACGTTTAGAACCGCCTCGATTTTTCCAACTGCACCTACGGCTAGGTAGACAGATCGATTCATAGCAAGTGTGTGCGTGTGTATAAATGTGCGAGTGCGTGAAGTATCTACAGCCGCTTCCGACGTCGTAAATCAAGATGACCGATTCGAGAGAAGAGGCCCTTAGCTCGGTGTGTATCTGCGACCTTCTCGCTCCCTCTCTCCGCGAAATAATCGACCACGTTCCTGCGTTCCACGTCTACACGGGAGCGTGTCGAGGATGCTGGCCCCTTGGGCGGGGTGAGTGCATTGTACAGTTAGGATTTCGAGACGGTTGAGGCATAATGAGAGAAACGTGCTGCCTTCTGGCCAAGTATTGTACCAACATGAGATATTGGCTAACCATCTATTTTTCGGCATAGAGGCAAGCGAAAAGGCTAATTCCATTTAATTCTTCTTTGGCCTTACAATAGATAATGCAATAAGTCTTAAAAATGTTTCTTGGTCTTCTTGATTCTAAGGACTTGGCAAAGATAAAACGGTGGCTAGCCATCTATTTTTGAAGACAAAAGAAAAAATTATTAATTTCATCTAATTCTCTTTTGACTTTATAATTAATATGCAATATGTTTTAAGAAGATTCTTAGTTTTAGTTTTAAGCAGTTGACCAAGGATCTTAAGAAAATTGCATTCAAAATAAGTCATTGTTGTTGTAAAATTCAATAAGAGGAGAGAAAATTTTATAAATCTACAAGAAATTTGAAAAATTTTATTCCATAATCTTTGATCTAAATTTGAATAATTTCGTATAATTTGAAAGTGATATTAGAATTTATTGTAGATAGATTATTAGAATCAGAATTTAAAATTATATAATAAACTTTGATTATAATAATGAGAGCATCATATTCGAGGATATGCGAAATCTTTATTATAGAAATCTCTCTTCTATCTATGCGAAAATCTTCCAAATTATCATCTTTATTACCCTACTTTATTTCAATGCATCTCATTTCTTCATTATCAGCTTCAGATCTGCGTTCTGATGAAAATGAAGGTGTCACTCTCACGTTATAGCCAATCATTTCGCCTAGCCGTCTTATTTCTTAGCGACTTCGTGAAATCTTGTTTTGCCAGAACCAGTTTTCGTAAATAGGAAAAATATTTTTAATTAATTTTGAAAAATGTAGCAAGGCCAGTGACCAGATCGACCAGTATCTGAGATCTTGTGTTCAACTTGGAAAATACATGGATTATTATTAAGAATTCCTGGCTACCGTCCAACCAGTATCGTGAGAACGGGGTCGAAGGATTTTCCAACCTGTAAGTGATCTTTTCATTCGCGAAATGTTATCGTGATTAATCGTAACAGGCCGACGAGGATAAGGTTTTACGATCTAATGTGTGTCAATTTTGTATCGGCGCTTGTCTCTTTGGATTTATTTCGTTTCAAGTTATTGATTGGATAAGTTGTTTGGCAGGTAGATGGAAATTGCTTGGGAAGAGGAAAAAAAAATGTTTGGATCCAATGAGGAACATTCATGAAGATTGATTTTTAACTTCGTTTTAAATCTCTTACAGCAATTTTTATTGTAGATAATTGAAAATTATTTAAATGATATTCCATATTCCATATATTGATTGAGATATAAACATACATATATCTAATTAATAAGTATCATTAACAAATGACTATAGTTTGCAACAGACAGAATTGAAATAAGTCATATTGTTTTTGTCTGAAAGAGTCAAGAATGAGTCTATGAGAAAAAGAAACTATTGTGTACGTACGTATAAATCTTCTTTATATTGTATAGTATTTTTCTATACTTGCATCATTGTACAGCACCTTGAAAGAAAGAAGAAAACTTGAAAGAAGTAGTATTTATAAATCTTAACCGTAACTTATCTAACTTAATACATTCTATTTATGACAGTATAGTAAAATAAGAGATATTACAAATCGTCAGAAAATAAAGAATTAATATCTACTACCTACGTGAAATTGTAAAAAAAACCATTGAGGAATCATGAAATAACGTATTGTAAGTACGTAAATACGAGACGTGTCACAGTACAAAAGCATTGTTCATCGTTTTACAAAGTGGTCGTTATTCACCTCGATAATGACTGTTTTGTCTGAAAATAACAAATGTTTGAGATAAATCGAGACGAGAGAGCGGTCCAACAAAATGGCCGTGATGGAAAGTTACGAGGATACTCGAGATTGATTGAGAAATCGATTGTACTTGTCCGACACCTGTTGACGCGTGGAAAACATCGGCGAATCGGGCAACTTAATTAATCCATCATTGGAAGAATAATCAAGTGTCGGATAGAATGTAATAAGGAGCTCTCGATTACTTCCACGAAGAGGATCGTCTTCCTTCGAGACGACAAAGGTCGTGGTAAAATGGAGGAAAAGAGACGATAAGTATCGAGAATCACGTTTTCGATATCGTGATCGGATTAGACGAGTTAGAAATGTATTTATAAGTGGACCACATATATTACAATTCTATACTGGAAATAGAATTGGTATTTGAATCTAGCTAGAAATCAAAGACCTATGATCACCATATTCTCTTTATATTTAAAAATTTTAATAGATGATTATTTGCTTTGTGAACAAAAAATTATTTTAGTGCATAATTACATCAAAAAATTTATGATTTTACAAGTCAGAATTAAAATTTTTGTATTCTTGGAGTATTCTTGGATTTGATTTATAATCTATATTATAAATATGATTGCAAAATAAATATTCTATTAACATTATAATTATTCAACTTAAATAATACTACTTTTACATTTTTTGTTTGTAAAAAGCAGATTTTTGTCTAAAATCTCTTGCAATATAATTTAAATTATAATAATGTAAATTAAATAATAATATGTATAACATATTATAGCTCATAAATTTTAATATTAATAAAGTCTCAAATCTTCTTTATAATATCATATATCAATAAAATTGATATATTTATTATTAGATTTTTGCTATATTATTACCAAATTAACTAAATATCAAATAAGAAGCAATACCCTTAAACCTATCAAAAGTTTAAAATTAAAAAAATTGTGTCTGCGAATCGTGTCGCTTTTGCCAACCACTGCTTCATAAGAAATTTTCAAAGAATACCGTTCATTGTCAGTTTTATCGTTGTACTTGAGGATAATTTCTCCAAATGAGGCACCAACTTAGTAGGCACAATTGCATCTAGCGCGAAATCGTTCGTCGTGGAATGTCGCAAGGGGTCGGTCACACCCGTGCAAGGACTCTCACCGAGGACGATTCACCATTCTCGAAGAGAGGTTCTAACGAGCGTTGCGTAACCGCGGGCGCTCATTAGCACGTCGAGATCCAATCCCACGGCTGAGCAGCTGACTGACTGACTGACTGACTGACTTACTGACTCTCCTTACGAAGCTAGGAGATCGACGAATGTTGCGAAACTGTTATTGCGCTTACCAATTATGCGAACAATTCATTGTTGACTGCTCTTCCGCGTAGAAACGTTTCGAAAATTTCCCACTGAATCGTGTTGAGCTATTGGAAAACGAAAACGATCTCAATATTCATCATAATTGAATTTGTAAGGAAATATAGTAATGAAATTGCTATAGCATTGCGTGTGTTTCTTAACTCTTTTTATTAAAATTTTATATCCAATATGAGATATGGAATATTTTTAAATTTTGAAGAATTCTCTGAAATGGAAATTAATAAAATGTTTAAAGATTTTTTATATAATTGGATATATCATACATAGCAATTTAGATTGTCTAAAACTTTGGGCAGTTATGTACTCTTCAAATCCTAACCTCAAATACTAAATGTTATTTTACAACAATTACATTTTAATCATTATCACATTAATCAATTGTAATAAGTATTATTTTCATTATGAGAAATAAATAATTAATTGAAACTATTTATAGATTAGTCTGGGTTGGTCATTATATTATATAAAATAGATTATACTTTACTATATAATAATATAATTTTTATCAATTATAATATCATAGGAGGTAAACATAAATGAATTTTTCTAATTCAGGAAAATAAGAAGATGAGAATGAAAAAGAAGATAGCCTTGGAAGATTGTTTCTTCTTTGACATGTGGAAAGTGGACAAATAGGATGCAATAACAATAGTCAAGAATATGTCGTATATTGGTAGAAGCGGTTTACATTCATGACAGGAACAATGTGATTGGGATTTGATGGATATGGAACAGACTTGTAGATCAAGGTTTGGGAATAAAGAAGCTATTTATGAATAGAATGAAAGAAATGCTTATAATACAGAAATCTCAAATTTCTAAGTAAGAAATTTTAGATAAATACTCTTAAAATTGTGAAACATCAAAAAAAAAAAAATTAATTATTTTTAATCATTTTAAATTCAACGAACCAATATTTTTTTGATTTATGTATCTTGAAATAAATAATATGAATAATGATGTATTATAATATTCATGAAATATCCTCAGAAAGTTAATTCTAGATATTAAAACAAACACAAAAGTTGATATATAAAAATTCAATTGCACTAAACGATAGAATTCATAATAAAGCAGCAAATATACAAACAAAAAATTTAAAAAAAATATACTGTTACTTTTCATTTTAATCCAATCTTCAAATCCAAGAATACATAACCTAACTTAACCTAACTTCTGTTGCGCGTACATATATAGAGCCGAAGACAAGTGGTCATGCCGAGTTGTAAATCGCCGTCTCTCAGGTCTCGCGTGTTATCTGGTCATTGGATGAAACAGCACGCGGAATATGGAGCACTTACCCTGATCACCGTAACGGCGGTCCACTTAGCCTGGGTAACGACCGACCCGGACCATCATCAGGCCGTCCGTCCTGGATGGCGTGCACGCGCGGTTGGCGACCTTTACGCCATGGGACCACGATGTTCCATTTGCCAGGAGATTGAAATTCCGCTCATGGCTCGGATTACAGCGACGCTGCTTGGACGGTTTCTCGCGACTCTTGCCTTTCTGCCTCCTACCTCATCTATCCGCTGGCCACTCTTGAAAGCATTCGAATGTAATGGTCGGCTAACGACTGTATTTGCAATTCATCGGAGTGGCTTAATTGCGTATCGTGCACGGCGTCCACGTCCATGGAATAATTCATACAAGCTTGAACTGTCCTTTGCCTTCCAAGTTTACGAATTTTTCCGCGCATGCGCAGAGATCATGAGATTATCTCGTCGAACTATAATTCGAAATAAAATATATTTATATTTGAACTCGAATGTGATGATTCGTGATATTTGTGTGCATAACTTTGATGGACTTTAATTTTTTATGATATATATATATATAGATAAATGATAGATAACTTTAATTGTTTTCAGAAATTATTGCTATTGCGCATGCGTCGAAAAATTTGTAAAGTCGGAAGACAGAAGAAAATTCAAGCTTGTATGAATTATTTTAATATATATATATATTCTTATATTTATATTTTTTTTACCTCTCATGTTAAATTTTTTAAACTAAAGTTTTCAATATAAAAAGTATGTGATTCTATTTAAAATGAATAATATTCTTGTAATAACATCTCACATCGATAGGTTTAACATAAATAATTTACATACCTTTTAAGCTCAAACAAATTTCCTGTCATGTATTCTCAAGAAGATTACTCGATATCTTAAACCGCCCACATCAATTACCGCCACGAAAATCTTGACTCGTGATTTCTCTCCTGGATTCCATTTTTCGTCACGTGTCAATGGTGCGCACGCTCCTTTCGCATTAACGCGCATGTCAGACCAATGGAGATTAATTGCTTACCCACAACCGGCTGCAATTACAACTGATCGCGATTCATACACTTTTACACGAATCGGCACGATGGAGAGCACATGGAAACGGGCTTTAAAGGAACTCGATATGGTTGGGTGCTCGTACGAAATACTGGACGAAATAATGATGCCGTGAAATGAGGTACGATCTCTGGCGACTCCCAGAAATCTTGTGTGTGTACAAATTAACGATGGAATTCGATTACGTGAGTACATATACATTTAAAGTTGAAGATGAACGGGAGATTGATGGAAATGACGTTCGCATCATTCGAAATACTTCGCGCTTACAGTGTTAAATTATGTAGATAATACATTTGTCATATTATTATTGTTGTTCTTTGCCATTTATGGAGCAGTGTTTAAATACATGTAAGTATTATGTGTATTTTATATTTATTTTTTTAATCTTAATTAAGAGACATTTTATTTATTCTAAAAAATAATTAACAAGTAATTTGGATTTCAAATATATTTATTTTACAATTAATAAATCAAAAGTCTCTAATCAAAAAATGTATTTTGCATCAAAAAGATTCGTCTAATATTGGACGAACTACAACTGACTGTCAAAGTAAACTACTTCGGTACGCACATAGCCAGACATGTTTCACTCGTAACACTTATGAATTCTGCAATGGATCATGGTTCATCGCGTTACTTACATAAGACGACGACTCAATTAGGTCGTCGATTGATGATCTTCTTAGATCTAGACGATGAATAAGAATCGCTTTCGATTCGATTCAGTGAAAGTTGATTTTCTATCGTAACAAATAAGTGGAAAGAATATTTCGATTCACCGTATATATCGTGATACATAATAATTTGTTCATTTAAAATTGAAGCGTTGTTCTCGATATTGCAATATATCAGTGTTGAAAAGGATAATAACGAAACGTTCTATTAATTCCAATTAGCATTAGATAAGATTACTGTAAGATCAATCTCTTGCTAATAGAGTTTTGAAATTCAAATATATTCTAAGTTGGATATTATGAATTAAATTTATTTTTTGTATTATCTTCTGGATTACATTTTTCTGATGAATTATATTTAAAATTTCTGATAAGAAAAAAAATAATGATTGAAATTTTTTATTTCATTTTTTAATAATTAAAATAAATATGATAGATATTAGGTTAGGAAAATGATCAAATTCTATAATAGCTGATTCTTTATTCTTATATTCTTTTTTAAATTCTTTAGGATTCTTTTTTTTAATTATTTTAATTTTTAATATCGTAAATTTCAGTAAATTACAGTAAATTACATAAATTTCGTTTTCTTATCGATTTCGATCGCTTCAGAGACGACAGTCCATTTTTCAGGGCCAATTCCTATTTCCTTGATCGATGACAGTTTACAATGCCGCGTTTAATGATCTCGAGGACAGCTTTCACTTTGTTTCGCTATTTTCCTTTTGAAATTCCCAAGGATAAAACAGGGGGCCACTATTTCCTGTTACAGTTTCTGTTGAAACAAGCCTCATGTTCTCTGTATCCGCAAAGATCGAACAGAAGCCGGATTATCGTCTCGATCGCGATCGTTGCTTGTGACTGGGATCGCCGACTGTTCGAACAAAAGCATTGCAAACGGATAAATCTTTGTGGAAACACGATTCCAAGTACCTTTTGTTCTTCCCTCGTTCAGAAATTGTGCGTCGACTAAAATTATGTTGAAGTTGTTGAGATATGTTTACTTTTGATTTATGCTATGGTTAAATAGTTTTAATAGTTGATCTTTTATTTGTTAAATGTATGCTGAAAACATTTTAGTCTTCCCATTTCTTTTAATGTTCTCTATTATTAGTTTAAGGTTATGTTTACTATTCTTGAAACAGAAATATTCAGATAAAAATAATTTTCATGAATGATTATATTTTTCATTCATGTATAATAATATTTATTATTTAATACTTAAATTGTTAACACTTAAATTAGTTTTAATAATTTAGAAAATTTTAAGAAGAAAAATTTGTTTTCTTTATTTTTATGCAAGTTAAATTAAGGAACGTTCGTCCAATAATGATGGCCTAATTTATTACAGAATTTAAAATTGATACGCTGATTTGGAAGCATAAATCCTGTTATTGTTAATAACACGTTACAAATGGCGTGGAGATATTATAATTATCTATGATGAAGATCGCGTGTGTCATAAAAATCTAGGAAGAAATGAAACTTAGCCCGGAATCTTAATTAAACCATCACTGGTGTGAAAATAATTGGCGAATTTACTATTCCTTTGATGTCAGATAACATAGATTTCTCCTAATTAAGCTTGACTTACGCCAACGAGATTTGTCCATCGATTCCATAAGACTTAGAATTAAAACTGATACTTTCAAAATGATACGAAACAAAGCATTTCGTACAGTAAGTAATACTTCGTTTGTTAAAAAAAATTTGAATCCGATCGACAAATTTTTATTCAATAATTTACACTAATAATAATTTATTTTACAGATAAAACAATAAAAATTGAAAAAAAATTGTATAAACTAACGGTTAAATTTAATAATTCTTTTATATGTTAATATTCAGCATTATATTCTTGAACAGAAACAAAATTCAAAAATTCTTAAAAAAAATGTATGAGAAAAAAATGTTTTATAAAAACATATCACAGTATACTATATATTCAATATGATGTGAATTCACTATTGGATTTCAATCTATAAGAGAAGATCTATTGAGAAACGTTGATCCGTAATACACAATTTTCTATAACATTGTATATCAAATGGAAAATATAAATTCTCTTTTAATCTTTTCATATATTTCAAATTTTAATATTTGACAAAAATAACGAGTTAACTAGCTACAATGCATCACATATTTTCCATTTACTAAATCAAACAATTCCCATTTGAAAAACGATTCGAATCCAAGTCAACGATCGATGAAGGAAAACAACTCAGGGGTCACCGTCCGTTCGTATCAAAAGAAGGATACTTCCAGGATCTTCTCTAGATAGGACAGGCGTGCACAGGCAGAGTATGTGTCGTGGCCGATAATTATCGACGAGGCTGATCGTGCGTGCAGCCAGAAAAATGGCGAGCAACGGGACAGGTCGGTCGGCGACTACTGCCTAGACCGCGGTCTCCTGTCGATGTCGAATGAAGATGTCCCGGCTACGTTCTCCCTTGCCTATGTACCAGCTGGAATAAGTGTGGGTAATTTGCTCGACTGGCTAGACCACTTGTTTTGCGGAGGGAACCGATGCCGTTTAAGAGACCGTGCCACCGAGCAAATCCTCGTTCACGTATGTGTTACGTAATCCGTGTGCACGATTGTTGTGTTGAATGAAAATGAATCCGTGAGAAATGGATTTATGATTTTGGAAGATAGAATAATTCATTTTTGATATATTATGTTATTTAATGATTTTTTTATTTTAAATTTTGTCTTATTCTTTTTTGTTAAGTTTAAACGATTTGAGATAATAGTTGTATATTTTTGAAGTATTCTGCGAGGTAATAGGCGTATATTCTTTTATTTTTTTAGTTTTTCTTATATAAAGTTATGTAAAAATCATGGAAGAATGTAGAGAAAGTTTGCACTTATATTAATAATAATGATATTGAAATTTGATCTCAAGAGTTAAAAAAGATATGATCATGTTTTGATAATATTTTATGAAAGAGAATCTTGTTACATCATCAATCAATAGTGTTTTATGTATAAAAAGAAAGAATACAAGAATACAAGATCAGTGAAAAATATTTGAGAAATAGATCATTAATGAAATGTGTAAACTTTTAATAGAAGTTGTTATCGTGTCTTTAACTGATTAAAATTCTAGATTTTCGAGAATTTCAAAGTAGTCTAGTTTGTCTTGACATGCAAAAAATGTGATTTTTAATCAAACATCTAAAACATTCGATAAGAGATATGACTCAAATTTGTTTAAAAAATATAAAAATATAAATAGTTGAAAGCTGATTGCGTGAAACATGCAAAGTGAAAATAGGTGTCGAACACGAAATAAACGATTTGAAATAAGAATAATAAAATATTTAATTGAAAGGTTTAGATTAGTCAGACACGATATCAAAGTTAATTGGCATGTAACTATTTCATGTTTATATAGAGCTTTATACATGTATAATAGAATTTCTATTTTAGTAAAGTAGAATTGAATTAATAATTGAATTATGCATTAGATCATAAACTAAAATTAACGTTTCTTTCTTTAATTACAAGAATTCTCTTATTCGAAAAAATTATAGTATTTTATATTAATTTTGATATTAGAGGTTCCATTATTACTAATTCGACTATCAAGATTAAATTTTAATACTTCATAAATTTTATAAGTAGTTTGGATCTCGATTTCACCTACTTATTCAACTTTTATTGTACCTAGCAACCTAGAGCAAAGAAATGAGAGAACGCAAAATATTCTTATTCGACCTCTGACAACTCGCTCGGAACATAGAGGCCATACGTCAGGAAGACCGGTTAATGGACACTAAAGTAACAACCGGCAGGTTTCCCTTTACTCTGCTATGCGTTTAAACAACAAGGACCGGTAGCTAGAATTAATGAGGCACCAGTTTCCAGTAATGTTAGTCGTGATAGGATCGGCGGATCAAAATGCAGATTTGTACGGGTGAAAAGTCTGGCACCGGTTCGATTGCTGTACACGTTCCAATGTCTAATAGTTTGGATGCTACTATGTCGCTAAGGTCAAGATATATTCAGAGCTCACGATGAAGTGTTTGATAAATATTTTTTGATCAGCCATTGAAGATATTTTATAATATAAATATTTAATAATTTTAGATTTTTCAAATTTTATTTTTTTTATAAATGCAAGTAATATTGTGGAGAATAATTAAAATCTATGTATTTGATTGAGAAGATATTTTATAGATTCTAAGGAATTATAAAAATAATTATTTATTACAAAATTTTGATCATTACAGGAAATTAGGTACTTTGAATATTAAAATAATTGTGAATTACATTTTTTTCTTAAGTTTTGAATGTTAAGTACTTGTTAATATTAAGAAAGCAAATAGAGGAAATTAATAACATTGATTGAAGCTCAATTTACATATAGTGTGAATAATCAATTGTAGAAACAATACTAATTGTACAATGTGGATAGTTTTATAGATATGTCTTATTGTGCAAGTACATAGAAAATTATAGGATGCATTGTTATCATTCAAAGACTTGTAATATACCTTATTCAAATTGTTAGATATATAAAGTCTTTCAATATTTTCTAAGATTATCATGAACTTACAATTTTAAATGATGATTTGAATGACTTGACATTTTTGTATTGAATATATGATGTGCCATTTCAATGAATTGAAATCTATTTCTGAATAGAAATATTTAATGATTAATTAATGAATGTCATTTTGAATATAATCTCTTACTACTACTTTATTACTCAAACTCCTTTCTTTTCTTTCTTTTTTCTTATACGCTATATTAAATATAAATTTAAATATACTATTTTATCTATTTCTTACTTATTCACTTCAAATAACTTTCACATATTAATTTTAAACTAATATTTGTCATTTTATTACAAAATTTATCTTTTAATTCACTTAAGAAAACTTATTTTAATATTATTATTCATAATATTTCAAAAAGATATTCAAAACAATTTTAAGAGAAATAAAATTGAATTCAACATCTCTATGCTTAAGTTATATTTCTCTTTGCAAACATTCAATTTATTGTATTTGATTTAATCAACAAGAAATATTAAAAATATTAAAATAACAAAGCAATTATTAAAAATTTTTAAAATAATCCTTTAATCCATTTTTTCGACCAAAGACCTACTCGTCATGCCAAGCTCACAGCTGACTGTATTTCATCAAGAAAGTTTTGTTCCTGAGTGCTGCCGTTGACCCATGAAATTACCCGTTGAAAATTTCCCGAACGCCGTTTTCCCCTGTGCGCACAACTCTCACATTCCAACCACGCGTTTACATACGTGTGCACGTGTATAATGATAGATATCACCGCATCATCTATTGTAACGCGTGTAATGAGAATCGCAAATAGGCGTGCAATTTGATAAGCTTGTCAACCACCGTTACGGTTCATGCGTCTGCAGAATTGAATAGGGACTACAGTTAGACCGAAGGGCGCTATGGGCGCAAACAGACAGATACAGGAAGGAGAGCCCACATAGTTAGGTTATGTTATGAGAACCTATGTGTATTTGCATACATCAATTTTGAAAAGGTTATGCGGTAATGATTAATATCTTACAATTACTTTAAATAATTTTAATTGTGAATAATCGTTGTGATAGACAGACAAAGATAGAAAGGGGAAATTACATAGTTAAATTATGAACAGAAATCCTTTAGAGCTATATGTATTTATAGACATAAATACAGAAAGGAGAATTTACATAGTTAAGTTATATTATAAAAATTTGTATTTATTTGTATTTATCAATTTTGAAAAGATTAATATCTTACATTCTTTAGTTACTTTGAATAATTAAAATTGTGAATAACAAGAAAAAAAATTATTGTAACAGAAAAAAACATATAAAAAACAAATTACATTACAATTAGTATGAAAAGTTGCATAGTAATATCTTATAATTAATTAAAATAATTTAGTTATAGTTGTTATGGTAAGATAAAGACATATAAAAAAATTATAGATATATATAATATACAATAAGATGGTGATTCTAAATATTATGAAAAGAATTGATTAATTTGATAGATGCTATCATTATTTTAGAATAAACATATAAGTAGATAATAAATCTTTCATAATATATGTGCTAAAGAATCTTTTTAATTTGGTATCATTTATTAAAAAAAGCTTAAAAATTTGTTATATATTTAAATTTAAAGAATTCTTTCACAAAAGAACGTTTGACGTTGTTGCATGATCCAAGTACATCGTGCATCAAATATATTTTTATCTAAAATACTGAAACTCACGATTTTTTTATATTTATATTATATTATATTATATATTATATATTTTATATTTTTTTATATTTTTATATTTTATATATTTCTCAATCATCTCGGTGCATAAGAAATTACAACATAACAAACTTATGATCTAACCTTGAAAAATGGCCATGGAACATTTTCCTCTACGAGACAGCAATAATTTCCAAGCGAAGCTTTTCAGGATCTTCGTTAAACGTTCTGAAGTGGCGTTCCCGTTAGAGGAATCCAGCTGGCTATGAGGAAGCAATGTCCTTTGTCTTGTCAGACGCGTTTCCCCGTTCAAAGCTTCGGACTTCTCGCGTCCTGGGGAATTCATAGGTTTGTTATGCGCGCGATTCCTTCTACCGATGCAATCTCGCCGCGTTTTATGTTCTTGTGCCTGCCACTAGGGGGAAAAACGAATCGCGCGAAACGTGGCCTGAACCGATGGCGATCAAGTAAAAACGTGGAAACGTGGAAACGTGTACCAGGCTGCTACCGTACCTATTTTCCTATTCTTTTTTTCGCGATTCGTTTTCCAGCGGTTTTCGATCGTGAACGATTCTGCGGCTTCCGGAAGAGGAAGGAGACGTATACGAGATGTCTGACAATAAGTTCGTTTTGTGGTAAAGTTACTTGATAGTTTATTTTTGAGTATCGCTTTCAAAGTATCCTTGTTAAAAATCTGTGCATAAATAATTTTGACTATTAATTTCAAAATAATTTTAGAAATTGGTTTTGTGAAATGGCTTTTCATCATTCATATCAATAAAATATCTTTTTTCAAGTAAGTTTTTGATTAATAAATGAATTGAAATGTCGTAATAAATCTAGAGATTTTTTTTTTATTCGCAAATATAATGAAAATATTGGAATGAAAGTATTTTGAATATGATATCAAGAGTAATATAAATCGAAATTGTGAAATTATTTATCAAGAAGAAAACTTGCAGATGATTTTAGTCATATTCAGCAATAAAATAGTTAACTTTATTGTCGACTTGATTCGATGTGCATAATATGAAGATGAGCAATGAAATTTAATAAAATATATACACAGTGTCTCATAATTCATAATGAAAATGTGATCATAAAATATTTCTTAACTGATACAAATATTGGTATGTATAAAAAATATCAAACCTCTCAAGGCTTTCCTCTTTTACAAGAACGTTTAGACATAAAATTTTTCTTCCCAGACTCGACTGTTCTCACGTCATTGAAAAAATGAAAAAAATAAAAAAGCAGGAAAACTCGAGAGAAATTTCTCGATCATATATAATACGAAGAAAAAAAAAATTTCACATAGATGTCGATCTTACGTAAAACATGGATACAAATCTATTCCTCGATGCAAAGGATAGTTTAATGTCACTATTTCCATCTTCGACGTGAAAGCATTTGGATGAGACAAATTTATGAAACGTCAGACATGATCATTGTACACGGGGCCAATGAAATTCCAACGGGTTGCATAAGGATTTCCTGGATGGAAGATCACTGGTGAAAGCTGAGACAACGTCCTCATTATGACCTTTTAACGTTATATTGGATTACTTTTATGATAATTACTACCATTTGTATATGGTATGGTGGTATGTATACGTGAACGTTGAATGAATTTAAGAGAAATTATAGATCCAATGTGCTATAATATATATAAGTTTGTAGTACGGGATACAAAGGATAATGGTAGCGGAAAAGGATAATAGTAGTGTTTCGATATGCAAGATATTCGAAATTATATGGAGTACGGCGTGGGACATCTAATTTGCATGTCTTAAATAACTATGTATTAAATTGTTCACTATGTAAAGCATTTAATTTATTTTCTATGTCATTGGAGATTATTGGAATTATATAAGATAAAGGAAGTTAATTTATTCTATTTGTATTTTAAATATAAAAAAAAAATAATTTTTTTTATAAAATTAATTTTTATTTATAATATTATTATAAATCCTATAAATTATACAATCTTATAATTTACAATCATATTAATTTATATTCTATAATAATATACGACTATTTTATAGCTATTTCTGTATAATTCGTTTAAGGTTATAATGGTATTTAAAAATTCAATTGAGATTGAATATTAAAAAATTTATAATCTCATAATTTTTTCGAAACTGTCGTTAAAGTATGATGATTTACGATCAATTGTATAACAAAATATATAGTTAGATACAATTTTGCAAATGCCAATATAAAATTTAATCTCCTGTAGAGTTTCGTCTATGATTTAATCGTAATCGAGTTGGAAATACGCATGTGTAGAGCAATTGAATCTCTCGCTGTGTAACCGTTATATGGCGCCACTAATTATCTGCAGAACTGCAGAAACGCGTGGATCATGCGCAAGAACCAGTTTCATATTCATGCTGCCACATGAAAATCAAAAGTGATTTAAATATGTGTGATCGTGTATTAAATTGATTTCTGATAATGAAATTGTGAATTTTTGAGATGATACTTTAGTCTTGAATAGAAAAATCATGATAATTTAAAAAAGAAAATTTAATATTCTCTTTTTTTTAAGAAGAGTAGTTTTTTAAGGTTAAGTTCATTTTTCAAGAAGTTTTATTTATATCTTATATGGATTGAAATAAGAAAGATATAAAATAATTGAGTGAAAAAGTTACAGGTAAATGTTAAATATTTTTATAGTAATTCTATAAAAATTCAAATTCTTTCTAATACATGTTAGAAATGTAAAAATGTGTTAGAATATATTTAAAACTTTGTTTATTTGAAACATTGTTTAAGAATTAGAATCTTGTTTTTTTTCATCTATGTACCAGCACAAATGAAAGATATATTATTTCATAAATTGTTAGACATACATAACTTTATAATTAGTTTACACATCTTCATGTCTCGATAGCAAATATTTAATGTCAAATTTTAAACTTTCAATTGAATTATCAATTGAAATTGATATTTTTTTTTTTACAATCACAGAGTATAAAGCTAACTAATATATAATATAATATAATATATAATATATAATATATAATATAATATAAGCTAAAAGACTATAAATTTAAGCATTAAATCTCTTTTTATACTTTATAATAATTATCTTCATTTAATCTATCATACAAAGAACAATAAACATTCTACTGCATTAATTAACGTCAATACACGTCACTAAACGAACAGGATTGTCTAAACAGCAATAAGAAAAGTATGTGTTCAGGGAGAGGTAACGAACACGAAGAAAGCAAGTCTCGCGCGCTAGCAAACCTAACCTCGAGCGTATTCTAGCGCTAGTGGTACAAAGCGCGCGTTAATTACGCTGATTGATTTAAGCTTAGTCGCGAAGGATTTAAGAGGCTCACCGTGCAAGCCGCATAATATGCGGGATATCCTTTCGTGTCTGTACAGAGTGTATTTGCACGCGAGTATGCAATGGTGCGCGCGCATAATTGCACCTTATTGAGGAACGCGCGCAGGGCGTGCCATTTGAATCATGTTCAGTTTATGCGTGGAATTATTAAAATGTAATCTACAACAGTTCGATGTAATAAATCGATGGTATTTTATTTACAAGCTAACTGTGAGCTATGTATCGTTTCGATGTTACAAGAGATCTAAGAATTTAGAGACATATTATACGTAGAATGGAATGCTAAATAAATGTGTAATTGAATCTTGATTCGATGGTTTTCAACTTTGGAAAATATTGAAAAATATTTAAATATCTTTCAGATTTAGATTTGTGAATGAAATAACTATATGTTTGTATATAAAACTGTATAGATCATAAATTAGAGATCTTATAGCTTAAAGTGAATTTTAAAGCTATCGCTAACTATGATTACTATGATAAACAAAATAAATATCTTAAGTATGATAATCAAATGAAAACTAATATATTTTATGTTGCAAAAACCATCGATCAAAAGTATATTTCTCAAAAATTGTAAAAAAAAAATAACTGATTTTTTAAATTCATAATCACAAATTATTAAATTAAAAATTGAATTGTTAATTAATCAATCTACACACATCTTAAAAAAACAATTTTAATCAAACACGGCCGAAATTCTCGTAGCGCTTCCAACATCAAAGGGCACCGAAGATCCTCTACACTAACACAACGTGTTCAATAGCGACTCACCCGTCAATTTGCATGGTTGCGTCCACCAGAGATGTTTTCTTCGGATTGTCTCCAGCCCAACGATGCCTTTGGATAGCCAGGACACCGGCACGACGACGGAGGAAGATCAATGACATCCCTCTCAACGGTTTTTTTTAGATTAATCCCGATAACCAACTCCGCCCAACTGGAGATCCAGTATGGATGGATGTTCTGCTAAGTTCGAAAAGGCGGATCTCTTTCCGCCTGAGGGCAACGATCGTCTCCCCATGCGACATCAGCCTTTGAATCGCGTTGATAGTAATTGAGACGTACGCGTCCTTGAGTTGGGACGTGACGCCGCCGTGGGCATTATTCGAAACGAGAACACGCGGTTTTCTTAATTAAGACCTAATGGCGGCTTCGGCCTCTGTTATCTCGCGCCAACGATCTGAAGAATTGATTTCTTCAAGGAGGCTGGTCCAGCTGCTATCGCGCCTATCACTGTTAAATCTTGCTTCTTTTTAAAAATGGCGTATGTACGTACTGTGGAGGAACGTTGTATCTGTAATTGGTCTCGCTAGGTTGGATACTTCTTCGGCGTCAACCGACGTGTCGCAGGCAAGAATGTTAAATTGAATCTTGATCTTTCGTCGTTCGGTTTGTGTTCTGTTACTTGTCTGAAGTTTGAACGAGGGAATTTGTACTTGTGGGGAATGTTCGCATAATGGTTAGTTTTGTTCTGACAGGATATACGGAAGATCAGTGGATAAACTCGTACAGTTTTAGACAAATGAAAATAGTGTATTCGATAAAATTGAAATTATGAATTTCAAGTTATAATTGTAAGATGATTAATTGGATATAATTAAAATGATTTGAGGGTATAGAAATTTGAGGAAAAATGGATTGGAACAATTCTGAAGGTACTAACTTTCTAAATTCTCTAATAAATCAATTTTAATTTAATTTAATTACATCCACTATTATATCTCTTCATTCTGATATTATTTGTAAAATTACCTTGATTTATTTCAATTTCAGAAATGGCATTATATTATGGCATCGCTTATTGAATATATTTTTCAAATCATTATCGCAAGGTACACAGGATAAAAATCCCAAACCGAACTGGAAGCAATCAGTTCCACGAAAGGCAAAAAAATTTTTTTCCATTTCTAGGATCATGCAGAATGAAAATTCTTTCATACGATTATTATGCTCTTTATTTGTTCCACTTATTCGATTCAAGGTTTCCTTAACGATTGATAATGGAGACATTATTCATATGTCTGAGATGCAAAAGTATCTCATAAATATAAATTTCAACTGATTATCTCGATGACGGATATCCTTGGCAATTGATGAAACTTTTAGATCAGTGTTTCCAACCTTCTTCAAGTCATTATCTTCTTTTCAAGTGGAAATATTCTCCACGTTCTGAAAACATTCATACCACATAGTTGGTCAATGAAAATGCAAAAAAACAACTATTGAAAATATTTGTCAGATGGCGCAACAGTCACCGACGCAAACAATGTCATATAATACCCACGTCATTCGATAAAATGCTAATTCTATGGAGATATGATAATTTTTCCTTAAATTTCCAACAGTCCAATAAAAATCGAATAAAGGAGAAACAAGGTAAAATTTTTTCACTCATGTAAAATCCAACCAAAGGCTTACAAACAAACGAAGCAGCTGCAAGCTGAAAATGCACGACGAAAGATCCGCACTTTTTCCTGGTCGACGCACACGCGCGCCCGGCTTGTTGAGGCCGTTATTTATGGCCGAGCGGTTTATTGAAAGTGAGAACACGATTGTTACCATGAAAACGTTTCGTTGGCGCATGCGCAAACGACCGGACATCCGTGTGTAAGGCTGCGTTATTGCTTTATGGGAGCCTCGATTTCTCGCATTCGAAATCCGGTATAATGGAATCTGGCCACTTTCCACGACAAATCTATAGATCTGGTTGGGACAATCTTTTCTCTTCTGGAAAGAAATTCTGATTATTCATGTACCGTTGCACGTTTAAGTCGATTGAGTTTTTGATTTTTATAGTGTTGACGATCAAGATTCTTGGGTTTTGGATGACGTGATATTGGTATGTTGGATCGAAGAATTTGAAATTCGCGCCAATCGCTAGCGATAACAAGAATGACTTCTGAGATAGAGATATGCATTTTTTTTTTAAAGATTGTTTAAATTGAAGATTTTGTTGGTGGTAAGTAAAAAAGAAATTCTTATGGTATAAGAATAATATCATTTTAAAATAACTATTATTTTTTTGTGTTTCGTTGCTAGTATTATTTATTTAAATATATATTCGAATTTTAAATTTAGGTAAAAAGAATTTATTTTGATCTTATAATAGAAAGATATATCTATAAGTTAAATTTTATTTTTTGAATTTTTTTTATTTTCATTCGAGACGGAAGTAGGTTCTATTTTAAAACTAGGAAATTTATATTCGTGTAAAAATAATCATAAAAATTTTACACCATTTGGAGTCTAGATTAAGTTAAATTCCTCGTTATCCATCTTCCAGAAATATTGCCCAACACACAACACGAGATAACTCCTTCAAGTAAGCTAAGCTATAATCTTGAAACGATTACAAAAGGAAAATAATTTTATGAGGCAAAATTAGATGGTTTCACAATGGATTCTGCATATGCCACTATTATGCATTTCGTGCATCTATGTAGTTGCAATTGCATTTATTTTGAATGGAATCTCCATACATTTCAGTTGAAGTTCCTTTGCCAAGAGTAGCAGGAAAAATCTTCAAGTGCAACAACAATTATTACCTGAAATGAAAATACATTTTACAAATTTAGGTAAAATACCATTGAAAATAATTTATATTAAATTGACTTATATTATATATCCAAATATACTTATATCAATAATTCAAATTATTAAACCAACAAAAACATATTTCAACATAAATAAACCAATATTTTATCTCTCTAAGAATCACAAAATTCACTGTCAAGTTAACTACCAAGTGAAAACAAACCAAAAAAAAAAAAAAAATTCAAGAGAATAGAAACTAAACAACCATGCATTAAAACATCCAGAAAAAAAACAGCATGCACACTATACATTCAACAACTATTACCAACTCGACCATCCCCTGCCAGTTATTCATCCGTTGGCAGCTCTTAAGTGTAACACCGTTGTTGTCTAACCGACTTGTCAGCCACGATTGTTCGGATTCTTACCTCGGTACATACCTAAGCGATAATGGGTTCAGTGAACTTTCCAACATTCGTTAAAAGGCTTCCCTATCTCTACGTGTGGTTGGACACACTGTTGCACGTGCAACACATCGTTCCAACATGGCGTTACGTACACACGCGCGCGCGTGTAGGTGCGCGCACGCAGTCGGCCAAGTGTATGCATTACCAGCGGGCAGCTTTTTGCGCCCGTATCAGTAATAGTAATCAGGATTTACTATCGTGCGCCCCGTTATTGCACCATCGGCTCGAATAACTGCGACAAATGCTCTCTGGACGCGGAGAGCTCCGGTATCGAACCCTGAAGGCTGAATCCTCTGCCAGGGGGCGTTAACTGTGCACGAAATTGTTCACGGGGCCACGAATCGATGACGCGCCATTTATTTTTCTACTTTAGGATTAACGAGTAACGTTATGTAGATTCTTGTTTTTTTTTTTTTCGTTTTTTAAGAAATTTAGAAAGGAATCATTAATGGAATATCATCAATTCAATAGCCCAAGATTTTTTAAAAATAAATGTAATATAATATATTTGTGATATTAATGATGAGATTGATAGAAAATTTGATGTAGAAAGTAGAAACTTTATATAAGGTAAGAATTGGATAGACACAAATCAAGTTACATTTGAAAATACAATTCAGCCTTGAGTGAATTCGATTTGATTTCCAACTAACTAGTAGTCTTTTCCTTTCTACCAATCTCGTGGATAGATCAGAACGTGTCTCGTCAGTGAGATATCTAATATGATAAAGAAATTCAAATCCAGTTTATTATTAAACAAAAAGATCAAAACCTAATTCATTTCGAAATACATCGCTTTAATATAAAGATCCTCTCTTTCCTCCAATAAAAAAAGTAACCAATCAACGCCATTAATGGCGATCCTAATTAATCGGCCGAGCAATAAGCAGAGGCGCGTAAATTCAAATCCGATTTGATGGCCGTTATAAAAAACTGGAAACCCGATATTTCGACTAGCGTGCCCGCGAATAATTCTCTCAGCCTGTCGGCGCCAAAACGGAAGAAAACGAGTGGAACTGCGGCCTCCGTGTCGGCGAGGCGTCAATAAAGATTCAATTTATTCAATGACTCTCGAAACGGCAATTGGCCGCAACGCAAATGTACATATTACCGAGGGAACCGTACTCGAGAGAGGACGGAGAAACCGTTCCCTCGGGAGCCGTAATTGCCAACCGATGCTTCGGCCGTGGTGTTTATTACGCTTCTCGCTAACAGAATAAAGAGGCTTCATTACGACTGTTACATAAGCTATCTATCATGGCCGGCCAGGGTCAGGATAAGAGGTGTTAACGTCTGTCTAAAAGGCTCGCCTGCGAATCGAAACCCCTGCATCATCCTTGCAAGTATTTCTCTACCTGGAAGCTAGCCTAAGAAGGTAATCAGGTAGGTTTCAATTGTAGCTAGTTAGCCTCAGAATAGTCAGTTACGATAGAGCAGCTAGCTCTAGGAAAAGATTCCTTGGAAGTTGGCTAGAGAGTATCTAACTAGCTGTGACAAATTGAATAGTTAGGGTTCCCTATACGTGGAAGCTAGATTTTTGAAGTAACTAGAGACAAATTAGGTAATTAGGTAGAAAGCGTCTCTTGGCTGGAATACATATAGTTTTATTAAGTAGGAAAGGAAATTTATAAAATAAACCTTAGCTAATTAGCTAGCTTTGATATTAGCTAATCTTGAAGTAACTAGAGATAAAATAGCTAGTTAAGAAAAGATTTTCTATCTGGAGACTATCTTTGGATTAGAGCCTAGGAATAATTAACGATAATCAACTCTGCTAAAGATGGACTAGCTTTTTTTTTTATTTGGGAAAAGATTGGAAGCTAGCTTTAAAGTATCTAGCTTTGACAGAATAATTAGAAGACAAATTAGGTGATTAGGGAAAAGTTCCGTATCTGGAAACCTAGCTGCATAGTAATTAGCTAGTTAAAGACAAGTTAGCTAAAAAAGAGTTCTAAACGTTAGTTGGACAGAATATTTATCATTTGGAAACATCATTTTCTTTTTTTCATTTTATCATTTTCTTTTTTTTTTTTTTTTTTTAGTTAGGATTATTTTTTGGTTAAGATAGATTTTGAACGAGCATGGTGCCCGCATAGCGCAGGAAGGAAGATATTTTCTCACGAATTTATCGCGTGATTGGTACGTATACATCGCGTGATAGGGACTTGCAATCTGCACACCCACGAATCGTTTAAATTTTTGAGGAAACACGTTGAAAAGTTTCATGGAAATATTGATTCTAACATATAGGATAATTCGATAACCATTATTCCATGTACTATTCTGCAAGAGGGCGCAGTTGAGTTCACGGCAACCAGATTTAGATTCTCTTTTAAAATAATTATAAAAAATGTGGCTAATAATTAACAATTATCATTAATATAATAAAATAAAAAAATTCTAAGCCTAATTTATCATTTCTTCACACAATAAAAAAAATCACTGCGCTATCGTCCGAGTATATATTTGTCACAACGCCGATCACACAGGCATCGACACTTTCGCAATGTGTTCCGCGTGCCCGGCGTGTCTCGTAGCCAGAACACCGTGCAATCGCCTCTGATCGACGGGATATACGTGCATGGCGTGGCACACCAGGTCCCGGTTCTCTTGCGTTCGTAGCTAAATTACGCGTATCCGTGTCAAACGCGTGATTAAAGATTATAATCCCTTCAAGTTACCGTAGAATGTGGAAAAACAAACGCGATAATAGGAGTACCGTTTTTAGGCGGTACCCATTGGACAGAAAGAAACTGTTAGGAGCTCTTACTCATGATCGTAATATATAAGTGGTTCGACGAAAGAGGCCATTGGGACTTGGGCCCCCTCGTGATTAAACGCGTTCCACGAGTCATTGATTAATAATTTATTATATTCGATAATAATTGTGATAAATATATATTGCTGTTTATATAAATATTTTTTCGAGAATAATTTCTATAAAAATTAGAATCTAGAACAATTTTGAAATGTTATTACAAATCTCAGAATTTTTTAAATGTCTTTCTTCTCATAGAGATATAAGAAAATATGCCAAAAATTCTTTTCTCGTACTGGAATTTTCAAGTAATATATATATATAGATACCTGATAATATCGTGATTGTTTTATCCAATCTCCCCGCAAGATATCGATCGACCATTAAGATCGATGGATCCCTTCTGATGGAGGTCGAGGGTCGATCATTAGGATGGTATATATAAGGATCCATGGTGTACGTATCGAAACGAAACAAATAAAATGGCGAGCCAACAATACGATCGGGCAAGGGATGAGCCATAGTTATATTATAAAGTAGAAAATCGATCGAGGATCGATTCATTAGTTCATTGGCTTTCTCCTTGAGAGTCGAGAGTATTCATAAGGAAAGTCGAGCGAGCAATTTAGAAAACCAGTCTGTCTAGTCGTACGTTTCTAACAGTAGTGAAATTTATGGACGCAGGTCCGGGAGCAAGTGAAAAAGCTTGGCTCGACGTTACGCCGGGGGAATTGTCGGATCTTTTTCTTTTTCTTTTTCTTTTCTTTTTTTTTTACTCTTTTCTTCTTCTTTGGACTGGGAATCGATGAGTTGAAGTTCGCGATAGCCGCGTGGATTTATTGCATGTAACGTGATCATTTGGACTGTTTCGATTTCACGTTGCTCGTGTGTTGCTCGAAAGATCTCATTTTCTTCCGACTGTTGAATTGCCGGTTCGTGGGAAACTTGAGATGGAAATGATTTTCATTTTCTGAACGCTTCTGATCTTGGGGACAAATTAACTGTGTCTTTCGATTTTCGAATTTTGCCATGTTGTTGCACGATAATTTTATAAGAAATTATTAAAAATCTCTGTTTGTTCTGGGAGGATTTTGAAGTTTCAACTATGATGAAATAAGTTGTAAAGAATAGCAGTATATTTGAGCAACTGAGTTTCATATATTAAAGATTTCATGACACTAAATGATAATATTTTAACATATCATTACCACACAATGAACAACCGTCATAGTAAATGTAATCAAATTATCGGATAACCTCATTATATCATTTCACTATAAAATTAAATTGGACATTAAGATCATCAATTTCACAGTTTTCCCTTGTGAAAACTTTTTTTATGCAAATCTTTCCTATCTCTTCCATTTTCTTTCCATTTTTACATTAATCTTTTTTATTTTTCCACGTTTTATCCTTCTTATTCCTTAAACAAACAGGTAGAAACATGGTAATGTTGTTCTTACATATTCTTTGAGGAAAGATTTGAATCTGATTTTTATCTAAATATGCAAATGGAAAGTGATATTTTTTTCTGGTTCTTTGTTAAAAATAACCAGTCACTAATATTATTGGGAGATATTCAAAAATAATGAAGATTGATCTTTAAAAAATATTTGACAGATTTCACATGCATGAGTTCCAATAACTGCATCTTATTT